CACCTTTGTCGGCAGAGATTGTGAGGTTTTCTACGATATTGCCCGACCCAATACGACAAGCGATACCATCTGGGTCACCAAACAGTTCAGCCTCGACAACTGCAAAAAACCTCTGATTCACGACGACCTTCTGAGAATCGCCAACGAGCCGAGAAAGGACATTGAAAAGCCGAAGAACTTGAGATCTTCTTTCGTGACCATGTTGAACATGACTGCCGAGGGAAAACCGTTCATCTTCGAGATGGTGGCCGAAGGACGATACACTATGACTATGTTCACACCCAACCACGGCGAAGCCATCACTTACACCAGGCAAATATGTTACTTTAAAATTGGATACTTTTTCTCAAAACTGTTTTGAAATTTGAATTAAAAATTGGAGACGGCAAAATTGAATTTGAAAAATCAGAGGCTCAAAAACCTAACATGAATACTAAAATAAACAAATTTCATTAAAAAAAATTAATAGTTTCTATTGTACAGGCAAGAGATGAAATACATGGGCACCGTTGACACAAAACTGGTCAAGACAGCCCGACACCCAGTTGTCCGACGAACCTCCATCACCCCCGAGATGCTCAGCGACAAAATCCACATGTACATGACAGAGCCAGAGGCTATCAAACTAGACCTGATCAAAACCCTTTTCACTGAAATCGTCCAGGAGACCGTTCTGTCTAGCGAACCCACCTTCGAAGGCCGACTTACAGAGAAGTTCAACTTGGCCGTTCAGCTCATGAACACTTTGACTGAGACCTCATCCATCAAGCAGATTGTTGACTTGGCCACCCAGGAGCAGAACAAACCCATGAGGAACTTGGTCATCACTGCTCTCTCCAACACCCAAACTACAGTTGTGGCGAAGGCTTTGACAACCCTGGGCACGAAATTGACAAAGACCGAAATCACTGAGATCATCTACGGATTGGCCATCAACGGAGTCCCAACAACTGACTTGATCCACGAGCTGAAGAAAGTCTACGTCGCCTTCCCCGAAGAGCACGTTCGGGAGCAGACACTACTGGCGATCGGATCCCAGCTATACGAACTCTGCCGACCAATGAGAGTGTATGGAAAGGACCTCGTGATCCCGAAGGATACTAAATGCACTAAGGACTTCAAAAATGAATTCATCAACGTAAGCATTCATAAATGGCATAAATGAAATGCCAACAAGAGTTTTTTTCGGAAAATTCAATTACACTGAAGATAAAAATTTCTAGATGAAATGAATTGAAATAAAAAAACTTCTAAATCTGAAACGCAAAATAAATATACTTGTTAATTTTTCAGTTCTTCAAAAAAGAATACGTCAATGGCGACGAAACCCGAAAACTGATTGTGCTGAAAGCTATCGGAAACAGCGGACTTGACCTGGTTGAGTTCATGAGCGCAATCATCCGAGACACAACCATGCCCATGGAACTCCGAGTGAACGCCATCCGAGCTTTCAGACGAGTCTCTGACGTCCGAACTGTCATGGACACTCTCCTGCCAGTGTTCCGACTGCAGTCTCACCCAGTTGAGCTGAGAATTGAAGCTTTCAACGTCTTGTTGGAAATCGAACCCACTGAGGAGATGTTGACCGTCCTGGTCAGTCACTTCAACATGGAGGATAACTTGCAATTGGGCAACTACGTGTACACCTATTTGGAATCAATCATCGACATCCCAACTATTTTCGCACCTACCAAGGACCTGTAAGACTCAGTTTACCTTTCAAAAACCAAAAAAAAACTTTTTTATCACGATCAAAATTGCATGCCAAAAAATTTATCAGCAAATCAGTTCTAACTAACACAAACGAACCAAAAAACGATCTCGGAAAACAGATAGGAAAATCAAAAATTCTTATATGTTTGATGAAAAGACTCGTTTCGATTATGGTTATCAATTTTTGTTTACAGGACCATTGGTGCCCAAAACCTTTTGCCCACTTTGAAGCGATTTGAGAGCAACTGGTGGTACTCAATGAACATCCAGACCTTCGTTGAACAACTTGGGCTTAAAGTGTTCCGACACCTCGAGACCCGAATGCTAGTCACTGACGAACAGACCTGGCCACGATCATTCATGCTGAAGCTTACCCGAGAGTACTGCGGATTTTTCGTCAACACCATGGAAGCCGGATTGAGGTTCGAAGGAGCCGACACATACCTCCAGGAACTGTACACCAAGTACTATGCCACCACTGAACTCTTCGACTCTTACTCTACCGTCTACGCGAGGAGCTTCATGAGGGATATCTCCAAGATTCACCAGATTCTGTCCAACGACCAAATTGTCAGCCGACCCATCGAGAAGCCTAGGGGACATTTCTTCTGGAGAGTTCTCGGAGCCGAACTTGGAGTGATCCGATTCAACGAAAAAACCCTTGAACAATTGCCGACAGACATGCTCAACACTTTGATGAAACTCGATGAAAACATGAAGTACTTCAACATCTTCTCCCAGGCTCCTCTTACCCTGAGGGCTCCTACTATGATGGGAACTTTGATCTTCCACGACTACACTAACGATGTCGTCACTAGCCTCAACATCGAAGACTCTGACGTGCAGAAGGACGATCTTATCTGGTCTAAGCACATCACCCTGAGGTAGTATGACACTATGTAAACCAAACGAGTTTTTTCTTCTTCAAAAACTGACATTAGAGCAGAGCTTGGTTACAGCTACAAACAGCACTTGGCGACTTAACTTTTAGCACCAACTCAGAAAAAATTATACTTCGATGAACTTGAAATTTAAATGGCAATGCTTAATGTAGAAAAATTGTGCAAAATTTGCGAGAAAATACATATTAGTTATCCGCTTCAGGAACCTGATGAAGAAACGAAGCATGCACGGAGTGGCTCTCGGACCTCTGGAAGTTGCCATCGGAAGCTGCCAGCACGTTAAAGTCATCCTACCCCACACCATCGAAGTCACCATGGATTCCAAGAGCGAAAAGGTCGGCATCGAACTCTACTGGAATGTCAAGGATCCCGTGTACAAGAGCATGGCACCCGAGAACTACGACCTGATCACCATCGAGCAAACCCCCATCAACTATTTTCTCAACATCGATACCACCAAGAGGCAATCAGTTATCATGTTCGAGAAAATGAACATGCACCCACTCCTGAAGGTCTCCGAAGAGCGATACTACTTCGACTTTGTCGGTCACAACTTCACCTCGATCCAGCACATTGATGAACACACTATGGCTCTTCCTGCGTTCCCTTACGACGGCCGACACTTGATCTCACTCTCGTTCTACGACCGAGTTGTGAAGCCCTTCGGAATCAAGATGGAATTCAACCTGAAGTCGCTTGTGTCTTCATACACCAATGGAAAGTTCGACTGTTAGTATGAATATTTTATCAAATTTGTAAAACACTCATTTTGCGGTATGCCGAGAACTTTCACTTGAAATCTGCATTTAGTTTTAAAAATTCATTTCGTGAATTTGTTTTGCAATCTTTAAAAACAAATATTTACGACGTCAAACATTTGAATTTTAGACTACTTGGACATTACATTGAACCCCCGAGTGCCCGAGGAGACCAAAGCTCTTTCGCTCGGACTTTCATACTCCGAAGAGAGATTCGCGAAACAGACCCCCGTCACTCACATTACTCTGGAATACACCCCACAATGGGAGAACAAGGGCACATACCGAGTATTCTTCCAGAAGCAGGAGCTGATGGGACGATCGGACCCCGAACTTGAGACTCTCTCCTGGTACGACGCTGCCGAGGACAGGGAACTGGAGAAACTGTTCACACTACAATACGGATGGAACATGGAGTACACAAAGGAAAAGCAGGATATTGTTCTGAGATACAAGGTCAGCAAATCAGATCTGCAGAAACTGTTCGAGAGAGAGGATCTGAAATTGGAAGACTCAGAGTGCTACAAGTGCGAGAAGCTGACACAAGAGACTGGCGTCCACACCAACATCCACTGCGAAACCTGCATGCTCAAGAGGCAGAGCCGAACCCAGAAAGACTACGCTGTCTTCATCAACAAGGAAAAGGTATACAAAAAATATATCATTAGTAAAAAAAAACATTTTGAAAACGAGTATCGCAGTGAATACAAGCTAATGAAATAAGAGCAATAAATGACTTAGAAAAAAATCATATGCGAGAAATTTTTTAAAGAAAATAGCTAGCTGTATTTTTGGACTTCTAATTTCTCGGTTTGCTTTTAGTACGGTAGCGATCTTCTGGTTAAAATTTTCGAGTTCTTGGACCGCGGAAACGTCAAATACCTCAGCGACATCCAGTCACGATACCAGGAAAATGTGACACCTAAACTCGTGCAGGAATTTCGAACTCTTGTAAACGAATACATGACCGAACTGAACAACATGGACCAACTTCTGGCCTTCCGAAGAGTCGAAGATGTGCACCCTTTCTACACCATGCGAAACATCACCACTGAAGTCGAGGACGAGCACCTTCGATACCTGAGAGTACCTCTGACTCCTGCCGAACGACGATTGGACAACCTTCCTCTGGACAGACTGACTGACGTGCACCTCCAGAGATTCGACTACCAGACCCAAGGCATCTGCCAATTGGACAGCCTCAACACAGTCAAGACCATGGACGAAGTTGTCTACAAGATCTCCGATTTCCCCACTAACTGCGAGCGAGTGCTGGCCCGAGACTGTTCCGACAACAAGACATTCGAAATCACTGTTTCCAAACCTTACTCCTCATCTCCCAAGGTAGAGTTTTAAGTTTAGATATACAAAAACAAATATTTGAAAGCAAAGAATAAATTTAGATAATCACAAACAAAATGTAGATATTGAAAACAAAACAAAATCCATATATGATGAAAACAAATCAAAACTAAGCGTAACATCAATTTATTAAAATATGTTTAATGAAGCTCATTCAAAACTAACAGCACTTAAACTAATTTATAATCCTTGAAATATATTTCAGGTGGTCCTGGTCAAGGTCGCAGAACGAGTGATCAAAATCGTTCCCCAGAAGACATCTGTCATGGTCACGGTTGATAACACACCTCTGCTCATGAACCGAATTGTGAGGAACGAGTTCGTCTACGAGACCTTCGAAACCAAGTCGATCAGCGGAATTGTCTCCGACATCGTCACTCCCAACAAGGATACCATCAAGTCTGTCGAGGTATTCCTGGGAGACATCCTCACTCAGATTGTTGTCATCGAAGATTACGTCAAAATCATGGTGAGAACACTCTAGAACAACTATAAAAACCATAATGCTTCCCTAATTAGGAATTTAGAAACAATTTGAGCCTTTAGCCAATATAAAATTGAAGCAAAATATCTCTTAAAATTGTTGCATCTGAATTTTAACCCACCGTTTTTTTGTTAAAGGTTCCCTTCTGGTACAAAAACAAGATCTGCGGCCTGTGCGGAGACTTCAACACTGAACGAGTTGATGAATTCAAACTGCCGAACGATAAGGTAGCCGACAGCTTGACCAGCTTCATCAGCGCCTACTCTTCGGACAAGTGCTACACCCGAATGTAAGCTGATTGCACTCAAGGCACGACAAGAACAATTCTGATTGACAGACGGAAGGACGACAATGTTTTTTTTTCTACAACAAAAACAATCAACAGAATTTGAAAGGAAAACCAATTATTGAACTGAAATGACTCTCACTGCATGCAGTTGAAGACTTTGTTTCAAATTTAATTTATAATTTTATGACTTACAAAATTCACACTTTCAGCAAAACATCTCTTCTGACCTTGCATAAGCAATTTTCACTTTTTGAATGAGTAAATTTAGTGTCGACTATTTTTTAGCAGCACCTTAAATCCATAAAAAGCTTAAGGCTGATATTAATCTATTTAAAATATAATTGCTAACTTTTGCAATCAAAAGTCATTGTGATTTTGCCTTAAACTAAATTTCAAAAAAAAACCGTCATTTCTCCTCAACAACACATGCTTAGCTTGCTATGCAAAATCCAGAGTTGTTTTAGTTATTTAATTTTGAGCAGTAATGCATTGACATTGCTTGAACTGTTTGGCATCATCTGTTTAAAAATTATAAAAATGATTTTAAGCTAAAACATAATAATTTAAAATATTGGTATTTGTTCCTTACACTTGCGCCATTTACGACGTTCATGCAACTTCCAAACAACGTTTACAACTTCTAAACACTTCTTAAAATGATAATCCGTAACTTTCTCGTTATAACAACATTAGTTTCTGCTGTTTTCTCTTCCAATTATTACACTTCTAATTATGCACTCCGACTTCTCTTTGAGAAGGAAGTGAACTTCACACTTAAATTAGGCGCACTAGTTGAAGAATACCCGACACTGGAGCAGGACCTGCCAAGAAGCAAAACTTTTTTGGAGAAGTAAGGTCCACTGCAACAACGGTAGTGGTTAATTTAGGAGATGCGGGGGAGGGGGGGGGGTTAGTGACGCAACTTCTGAAGAAAATTTCCAAAAGCAGCAATAAAATAATCATTTTTCGCATGTTGTTCCAAAATATTGGCAAATCAGGGCCCTCTACTGTTTTGGGGAGTCGGTAAGCCAACCTGATTAACTGAAAATCTGCCCCCTCATTATTGTTGTTTATGAGTTACAACTTTTACGAATTTTTTTTTCAAACGAGTGAAGTTTATCGTTAGATAAAATTTTCAAGCCTTTTGACCAACGGACCGTTTTTGCAAGAGATATTTGCAATGACACTTGTTGCTCCGACCGTTTGAAAAATGGGGAGGAACTTCGTGTAGGGTGTGTTTTAATTCTTTTTTCTTTTCTTTTTCTTTTTTTTGTTTCCACACAAAATCAGCTACCACGATTGATCATCGGAGAGACTTGAGTGATGTATCATGTTGAAGCCCCTTTAGCCGGGATTCGAACGACATTTAAAATTTCAAAAAAAACCCAGTGTCAAAAAATCCAGTTTTGAAATTTTTGATTTTTTGTCTTAATTCGAGCTAATAAAGCGAGCGAGCAGGCTTACAAATACTTCTTATTTATATGGCTTAAAAGTTTAATGTAGCTAAATTTTAGCCATGTAAGCTTAATTTTATTCGAGCGGTTTCTTGGAATCAAAATATCAGCGGTTTCTTGGAATCAAAAAATTCAAAAATTCAAAAAATACAAACAAAATTTTGAAAATTAGTTTTTGTTTTTTTTTTGTTTTTTTTGGTCATGTTTCTACAAAAAATGTTTTCCACTTCCATTACTTTACTGTTCGTTTTACTTAATCTTTAAATTTTCGGTCGGATCCTTTCAACGCACCACGCCGAAAAACGACACTATTTTGAAAAAAAAAGAGTTTTTACTTGTACTCTTAAGACTATGGTAGGAACAATCTGTGCTGTTTGCACAGTAACCGGCTATCCTTGTTTTGGTTTTGTTGTGTAAATCGATTTCTAATTTTGAAAATGGAAATTACTTATCATGTTTCCTAGCGAAATAAAAGTTTTACCTATTGATCCAGTTTTCTCAAAGTGATAATAAATTGATCTACAACTGGAAAGAGTTTTAGGGCCATCTTTTGTTGTTCTTCCAAGCTCAAAAGTTGAAGGTTTTTGAAAACACAGGTCAGTTTTTTTCAAGTTTCCTTGCGTTCATTACTCGTTTCCAATTGTCAGTTGGCTATGCTTAAATAATACAATTTATTTTAATGATGCATTTTATTAGCTGCTATTATAAATATTCAATTATGATACAAATTTCAATGGTATATTGTCAATTTAAAAAGCTTGAGCAAATTGATAAAATTTTGTAGATTTGTTGTTTGTTCATGACAAGTTCATAAGACATCACAAAAGTTTATAAGACCATTGCAAAGTTAATTTTATGAGGCCAAAATGTGCATTTTGTGAATTGCAAGCGAATGCCGCAACAGACAAAAATCAGATTTGTCCCGGAATCCGCTAAATGGAAATTTTTTTGGCTCTTTTTTGCTGTTTTGGATTTCACGGAAAAATAGCTAAAACACTGTTTTGCTCAAAATTGCTCCAAAAACAGGCAAGGTTGCGGAATCCGCAACAAAATGACTGGAATTCGGAACAAGTTTGTGGAATCCATGAACAAAAAATACTATGTGTGTTTAATAAACTTAAGCTGTCGCGGAATCCGCAACTGTAAGCGGATTCCGCAATATGTAAGTGGAATCCGCAATTTGTAAGCGGAATCCGCATAAATTTTCGGAATCCACTTACATCTGGCGGAATCTGCTTACATTTGCGGAATCCGGATTAACTACCTATATTTGCTTGCTTTTTGCGGAATCTGCAAAAAAAATTATTGTGCCGACACAATTTACTTTACAGGTATTTGTACGCGGAATCCACTGAATTTTTGTCAGTGGAATCCACTTACTTTTTGAAATATTTTCTAAGACTTTCTCTGGAATCCAGGAACATACAGACCCAAAGTTGTGAGCCTATTCAGTGCGCAGTTTGGCCTCGTAGTGTTTGTACATCAAAAAAAGTCAGAGGAAAATTTTTTCGAGTTTAAAAAAACTAGAAGGAGTTTTCTTGAACAAACATTCTTACTTTCATCGTCTTACTTCTGTATGTCGCAGAAGTAAGACAATGAAAGTAATTAGAACTTGAGTTTTTCATGACCTATGTTATGAATGGATGGATTGCGATTTTAATTTAGGGTTTCGATTGCTGTTATGACTTCTAAACATGGCTAAACGTTTCAGCCCTCTTATAACCCGGGAATCCTTCTCTCCAGAAGTGATCAATAACCCCCTCAACCAATATCTCCTCATGTGGAAGTTTTCACACGAGTGGGTCTATATGGCAAATGACATGCTGAAGGTCAGCACCAAATCCGATTATGACGACACATTCGACATAGTCGCTCTGTCCGGAGAGATCAAATCATCACAGGGACGAAATTAAATTGGACATAATTGACACAAAGACACACTTAAAACAAAATAATTTTTTGTCATGTTCTTGCGTCAAAATTTATGCTTCAAAAAAGCTCTCTAAAAGCTCAAAAGGGTTATTAGTTCATTTTTAAGTGTTGTTAATTGTCTTCAACTGCTCGAAATGGTAAAATTACAGCTTTTCATCCTGTCAAGTAGTTAACTAGTTTCTTTAATGAAGGTCATGAACGATCATACTAATCCACACAACGTTTAAGTGTCAGTTAGGTCTAGCTGAACTTCTGCGTATCAGGTGTCTGAGGATGACTTAGCGAAAGCGGAGTTGTCTGTTTTGAGAGTACAGGAGTTCTACTACTTGGATCCTGTGGATGTAATTCAAGGAAGGGTTCAGAATTATTCGGCTAGAAGGTAGGCAGTGTTTTTTCCGAAGTTTAAATACAAGATAGATGGTAGGCTACAGAGCATTTAGCACTGAGAGTTTGATTTTACAGTCTATTGATGAATATTTTACTTGAAAAAGCAACAGAACAATTTTAAAATGTATGCAGTTTTTTCAAGAGTCATGAACGTCTTGGTGATTTTTTTTCAGGGAAAAATCTTAAAGTTTGTTCACGCTCAATTTTGATTTTCCGCGGTTGTGATTTTTTAAAGTTCTGTGTATTTCCATTGGTAAAAGAAAAGCAAACTCCACTATCGAACAGCAAAAGTGTAAAGGTCACGAAAAAAGTGATCGACTTCTAATTTCGAAAAAGGAAATTGATATCAGATTTCCCAGCGAAATAAAATTTGCACCTATTGATCCAGTTTTCTCAAATTGGGTTAGTGTTAACAAAAAGTGTTTATCATAAGTTGTTCTAAAATGTCAAAGAGATTTAGTGCCATCTATTTTTTTCATCCAAACTACACGGGTTGACCAAATTTTTTATCATACAATTTCCATATTTTAAAATTCTTGCCATACAGTTGCATGCAATTCCACACATACAAACATTTTTATGAAATCTTTATGATGATCATTTTTCCATATATGAAATTATATGACAAGTGTTTGTCCATCAACCAAAAATTTGTTTTTTTTCTAATTTTAAATTCTGAAAAATTTTGGGTTGTTTTCGTAACCGAACGCAAATGACAAAGACCTTGTTTTACTCAAAGCACCAAAGGCTCGATGGTCTTGCACTTACAATGCATAGAAAACGACCTGAATTGCCTTAGAGCTGTCTTTCACAAATGATATATCAAAAATGACATGCTCTTAAATATTGGCAAAACTTTTCAATGATAATTATTTTTAAAAATTGAAATTTAAAAATATCAGACATTGATCAAGACATACATAAACATGTCTTACAAAAAAATAGGAGTTTTCAGCGTTTTTGAAAAAATTATCAGGCGAAAAGGAAAAAAGATTTTTGTTGTATCCGATATTATTATTGTATCTTATGGACACACTACGTTATGGACACAAAAAATTAAATTTTGCATGCAAAAAAAAAGTTTTTTTTTCGGAAAATGTTTGTTTGAGTATAAAATTCGATTTGCGTTGAAAAAAAAACTAAAAATTTTTTTGGGCGATTTCAAATTTCAAAAATTGTATATGGGATTGCATGATAAGCATTTTTTTCAAAAAAAAAAACAAAAACCTCGGTTTTTTCATCACCACACTGTTTTTATTAGAATCAAACCGCCCACGAAATTAGTTCATGTCTTTTTCCAACCATTTTTCGAAATTGTACGAAAATTGTATGGCAAGCATACGAAATGCATACATTATGCAGAATTAATTTTCAATTTTTATACGTGGCTAGGGGGAAAATTCTGCGGTTGGTCACTTAGGGGGGGGGGGGGGATTGTACGGTTGATCCTTTGTTTTCATGATGGGTTTTATTAGCTGCTAATATAAATATTCAATTATGATACTTATGTCAATGGCTTATGGTCGATAATAAAAGCTCGAGCAAATTGATCAAATTGAAAGACTCAAACAGTCCGGGTAGGAGCGACGGTGAAGTGCCTCAGATAAAAGTATTGCAATTCAGAGGCTGATAGTTTGACAGCGTTCTTGATCTTTACTCGTTGATTAAAAATTTTTAAGCGGGAGGTCAAAAATCAGACAAGTCATAGAACACATGCGGCATAAGCTAATCAAAATCAAGATAAGAAAACAAACTTACGAAACGAATAATTAATTTTTGTTCCGTACATGAATTTGGTGAAGAGTTTTGATTCGGATGTGTCTTAGTTTTCAATTTTTTCCAAGCCAAATCAGTTACCATGAAAAGACACACGCAAAGCGGAGCATCGCACTACTTGCGATACCCCATAAACATGAAACAAACATAAATAAAAAAAATTAAAAATCGTTGGAAAAAATATGTTGAGCTAAAACTTTCGTATGTCTCGATAAAACAACTGGAACCCAGTTAAAGCTGGAAATTTGTGTTTGTTATTTTTTGGTTTTGTTATACTGATGAGCGATCAAATGCTTGTTTTCAAAAATTGGACTTTGCCCGATACCTTAAATGAATCTCTACAAAAAAAGTAAAAAGAATATTTCCAATAACGTAATATGTTTCTTAGAAAAAATAAGGAAGTCACATCTGATGCAAGTTGAATACTCGCAACAGTTTTTTTTCTTTCGAATGATCCTTCATCTTAGACTTGATAGGGTAGTTAATAAAAGAATTCCAAAAACATAACTAAACCGTCAAAAATAAAAAAAGTAACGTTTTTTTTTCCTCAAAAAGTAGTTCATGGCTGCTTAAGTGGACAAAATTTTTAAAACTGAGTTTCTCAATTGAACATTTAACCTGAGAATGGGTAAGTTACTTTTCAAAAAAAGTCAAAAATCTTGAAAAAACGGTTAAAGTTTCAGAAAAAAATGACAATTTGGAAAACCATAATTTCTTTCTAAACAAAATTGAGATTGACTTTTGCAGGGAGGCTTTCAACAACCTGTTGTTTTGATTAAACCCTTGATATCAGAATTGACAAGATAATTATTGAGAAAGGTTTCTAAAAAACGGCCTGTAATTCAAACATTAGATTTTTCCGAGAATCATTAAAATGTGAAAGAAATGGGCATTGCTGCTTCTGCAGAAAAAAGCACTTAACTTATTTTTTCAATTGAATCCAAAAACTCAGATTTTGGAAGGTAGTCCTAGAGAAATTCAAAATACTGTCAAAAAATCTAAGTTTTGAGTTTTTCGATGGCCAGAGCTTGTTGTGTCAAAAAAATTGGATGAAACATGTTCTCAGAAACTGGTCTTTGCATTGAACCCCAAATCTCAGATATGAGTAGTTAATTTGAGAGAACTGTCAAAAATTTAAGAAAAAGCGGTAAAAAAATCACAAAATTGACTTTTCCCAAAAACTGACGTTTTTTGGTGCTAGAACAATTGTGATTGGTCGCAAAATCAGGAAAGTTTACCCTAACTTGCTGTCTCCACTGAAGACACAATCTCAAATTTGAGAGATTAGTTTTTGATAAAAAATTCGGAAAAACGTCAAAAAACAAATCTGTGACTATTTCGAGGGCCATAAATTGTGTAAAAAAAAAACAAAACAAAGAAGAGACCAAAATTTAGGTCAAATTTTCCCCAACAGGTTTTTTCTAAGGCAGTAGACAGAGGGGTAAAATAAAAAGAGAAAACGGGGAGGATGCAGGCACAGAGGGGATTAGGCTGTTTTTTCCAGTAATTCACTTTTTTGGAAGCCAAACAGAGAAATTTTCCTGAGAAAAACCACGACTTCGCGAAAACCGAAAACAAAAATTCCAAATTTTTTATCAAATTTAAACTTGCATACATTTTCATCACACCTAAATTTATAAAAAGAAATTCTAGGCAGTTATGTCAAGCAAGATCCAAAACAATAATTTAGCACTACTACGCAACTTGCGAAGGGAAATAAAACCGACTACCTGAAAGAAGACGCAAGTTGAGGCGGAAAAAAAATTGTTTTAAAAAGATTTTAAAATATTTTAAAAGGTTCAAACCCCAACTCCTTAAACTAAACTGAACAACACTAGCAACTACCATGACATAATTATTGGTTAGAGCAGAAAAATATCTCTGATGTGACAACTAAGCCAACAAAACATAAACAGATGATCAAAGTCCGACAAATCAAATACCGGAAAAAAAACTTTCAACTGCATACTTACTGAAAAAAACAAGGTCCGACCGGGATTCGATTTGCAAACCTGTTAGTGCAAAAGCAATTGCCTTATCTCTAAGCCAAGTGCAAATTAACCAAAAATTTGTTAAAATTCAGCAAAAAGGTAAGATTTAAACAATGTGTAATCATCAGAATGTGTCTAGTGATATAATTTGTTGAAACCAATCCAGACTTGATTCGAACGACATTTTTTTTAATTTTAATTTTTTTGTGTGTATCCAGTAAACTTTTGGTGATAAATGTGGTCCAATATGCGTATTTTACTATTAGTATTGAAAATGCCTGAAATTTAGGCTATCAATCAATCCTTTTTTTAAAAAATACAATGGGAACAATCTGTGCTACTTGTACGACAGCCTTCTAATATTATTAATCTTGTGTGTGTTTGTTTTCTTATCTCGAATTGTGTTCGCTTATGACATGTCTACTTCATGAAATATCGACTTTTTGCTAGTAAGCAGGGTGGTGCAACCCTCTAGAACTCAGAAAAATTCATACACAATTTGATTCTTATAAGTGATAAGGAGCAAGATAATTTTCAAATATATGTTTTTTATTTGTCAATTTTTTTAGGAGAGCAGCTTGAGGCACGATCAAAAGAGACTTAATATGATATAAGACTTGATAAAATAAAAAACTCAATCCTGAACTCTTACTTTTTCTTAAAACATGTTTTTACCAAACAAAAGTTCTGGACAGTTATGTCAAACAAGACCTATATTATAATTTAGCAATGAAACAAAACTTACGGGGCGGGAACAAAGCCGCAACATTAATGTTGTGAAAAACTTTAACACGTTTCAAACTTTCACACCCTAAAACTACACAAGCAACCACCATGACATGATTCTTGGTTGCAGCATTAGAATAATCGTGATGAAACAACTAAGCTGACAAAACTTGAGCAGATGATCGAAAGTCCGACAAATCAATTTTTACCGGAAAAAAATTCAATTGCGTACTTACTGGAAAAAAAAACAAGATCCGACCGGGATTTAATTGTCAAAGATTAGGATGCAAAAGCAACGGCGTTATCTCTAGGTGAAATGCAATAGAGCCCGGAAGTTTTTGAAATTCCATTTCAGACTTGATTTGAACGACAGTAAACGTTTTTTCATCTTTCTTTGTTTTTAGTAAGTTTTTGAAGACAACTGTGGTCCAGTATGCCTATTTTACTGTTACTATCGATTATGCTTGAATTTTTGGGCTATTGTGGAGGCTCTATCATATTACCTCGCACAAAAATAACGCCTTTTATTTGAAAAAAATCTGTTTTGAAGTTTTTCTAAAGAATTTGGTCGGAAAAATCTCTGCTACTTGCACAGCAGCCGGCTAATCTTATTTGTCTTGCGTGCGTTTGTTTTCTTATCTCGAATTTCTTTGGCTTAATCACATGTCTGGCTTATGACATATCAAGTTTTTGCTACTTAAATGGCTCAGAAAATGGCATACTCATCTTGATTCTTTTAAGTTGTATGGCACATTGTAATTTTTTCTCTGTTTTTAAAACCACCAAATCTTTAATTTTTTTGCTTTGGCTCTTGAGTAGAAGAAACAACTCTTGAATACAATTTTACTTCCTGCTCCCCGGCACGAACAGTAAGACCAAAAAACAAAGCAGACTAGATTGAATGGTCATTTCAGCGCCTTGTCAGAGGAGCAAACAAAAAAGATAGTAATGAAAGCCAAAGAGTATGGGGACAAGTGCCGGGTACACCAGTGGGGTAGGGCTATGGAACACCTGGGCATGGAGGTGCCAGACGATGCCAGAGGCGTCATAAAGAAACCACCGACAGAGGCAGGGACTACTAAAGACCAAAAAATCAAAAAACCTTTTAAATTTTAATGAAGTCGGGTGAGTTATTTTAGATAATGATATGTACGTAAACTAACGTGTTCGAAGTACCAAATGCACGAAAGTTTTGTTAATCAATCAGATTCCAGTATCCAATAAAAAGCGCGAATATCAATTGCCAGTTTAAAGGAAGTCGATTGGTCAAAAACATTCGGCCATTTGGTCAATTGACCAATAGATAAGCAGCCTTTTTGAGAGGATCATGCCAAGCGCCCATGTTTTGGTTTATTTTAAGATGCGTGTTTTAAGCTACATATCTGCGCAAGATGCTTTCGAGTAATCGTATGCTATTTTTTGGTCAAAACATTCACAAATGATGACTTAAATGAACTATTCGCACAATTTTTGAGCATAGTTTTCATGCAAACCAACCGCTCAAAAATCATGAAAAAAACAAAAAATAGTATCAAGTTGGTCGTTTCAAGAAAACGTGAACATAAAGTAGTAATCGCTGCCCGACTGCAAGGAGTATTGCGAATCAATCTCATGCTCAGCTGGGAGGGGAGATGGTCACTGTGTCACAAAAGACCACTATATCGCGTCGTATCAAGAGGCCTGCAACAACAACAGTTTCAAACTTAAGAGAAGTACCTTGCATTTTCTTTAACTTAACTTCTCTTGAAAGTGACGAAAGTAAAAAAGGAATAATAAATGAAAAATTCCAAAAAATCAACTTTATATTCCGAGATTGTTCTTTAGTTTTCTAGTCTGAGCTGGAATTAAATAAGAAGGACTCCCATTCTGGTTTTAGAAACGTCTTTACTTAATTTATGCTTAATGGTAAATCTTCAAGCTTAAATTGAGAGTCTTCACAGAATGTTCCGACCAGTCTAGAAAAAAAAACAAAACAAAAAAAAACTTTTTTTCCAGTTAATGTCGTTTTTTTTCTGCATGGTGTAATAAAAATATCTGAACGAAAATAGAACCTAAGCATATTTGACAGTCATAGTAAAAAAACCATTCGAAATACAGTTTTTGAAAAAAAAAATTGACTAGATAAACTAAAAAATTTGTTAATAAAATTGGGAAACAAAAAGAAAAAACTAAAACACACCTGAATACAAAGTTCCTCCCCATTTTTCCAATGTTCGGAACAACAAGGATAGCCTGTTGCTGTGCAATTTGCACACAATACTTCGACCACCTTCACTAAAACTACATTAATGGTTTCTTCAATTTTCCAAACTAATGTCGTTTTTTTTCGTGCGTGATGTGATGAGATAACTATACGAACGCGTAGAAACTTGAGGCTAGACTTAATCAGAAAAAGTTGCTTCGAAAAGTCATGAATTAAGAAAAAATAGAGAACAAAAAAAAATTTTGTTCGAAATTTTTTAATGCCAAAAAAGCGCTTCCACAACTAGTTTAAGTCCATAATTTAAGCTTCCGCAACTAGTTTTTCTCTATTGAAACTAAATTTTTCGCTGTTTGGATGAATTTTTCTAAAGACCTACTCCCTCGCTTTACTCAGTTTTCTCGATTGAAATTAGACAAACATAAAAAAAAGGTTTTTCTCGACTATCGGAAAAATTTTGAAACTTTAATAATGTCATTCGAACTACGAGTTTTTTTCTCATGGATTCGACATTTGATCAAAATAGGGTTTGTTCGACTGAAAAATAATTCGACATTTTCAGTTTTTTTGGCTAAATACACTTCTTCGAGAAACTCGTAGACCCGCCCCTGGTGTTTACATTGTTTGGGAGAGCTCAGAAAGCCAATTTAAGTGATCTAAAAAAATTAAAAACATTTTGGATACTTTTTTTTTCTGAGAAAATTTAGATCTACCCCTGGTTGGAACGATGTACCACTTTGCGTTCAACATATAAATTATTACTATGAGTGCTGGATAGTCCAAAATTCAACGAGATTAATTATCATGAATAAGTTCTACTAAGCCTTTTTTAAATAACTGAACAATCTGATGAGATCAGATTAATTCAAATGAACTAAATATTTAGAATGTACAAAGTACATGAAAGTTAAATAGCCTGAGAGTTTGCGCCCAATACAAACCGCACTCAAGCATCTTTTCATCAAGCATCTTTTTCTAATAAACTTTCCAAAACGAAATGCTGAAACTTTCACATGATTTAGGGCAGCTGATTTTTTTTCATGAGCTAAAGTCTGGAGTTTGTCCTAGCCAGAGAAGAAGAAAAAAACTTTTCCGGCATTTTTTTTTGAGCAAATTCTACTTTCTCAGCACTGTTTTCTAAAATTCTTTGTTTTGTTTAAAAAACTTTTGAATTAGTCCAAAAACAGATAGTAATGCAAACATTGAAAATTGACCATGATCAACTCACGCTCAGTAAAAATAATTAGTTCATTTTTTCCTTGATGACTGTTTAATCAGGTTATCATAACGTGATTGCAAAAAGATGAAATCAAACTCAAATCTAAATAATTATTTTTAAAACTACTGATTTTTCCTTCTGAATTTGATGAAATTAGTTGATTGCTGATGATTTAGCTGGTGATTTTTGATTTGATGAAATTGATTGATTGCTGGTGATTTTAGCTTTACAAAAATAAACATTGCAAAAAGATGAAATCAAACTCAAATCTAAATAATTATTTTTAAAACTACTGATTTTTCCTTCTGAATTTGATGAAATTAGTTGATTGCTGATGATTTAGCTGGTGACTTTTGATTTGATGAAATTGATTGATTGCTGGTGATTTTAGCTTTAAAAAAACAAACATATTAGATGAAATTTTTTCAAAAATTGAAACAAAAAAATGCTTTAATTTTTCCTAACAGTTTTCCAAATAAAAATTTCCAAAAAAGTTTATCAAGATTCAAATTTTCCAGAAAAATAATTTTTTTTAACAAAAGTTGAAGCTAAAACACTTTGTTTTCCCCTTTTGCAAAAAATTACACCAAAACGAAGCTAACAATAATTACATCTGTTTCTATTTTTAAAAAAATTTTCTGCCAACATGTTTGCAGCAAGATCTTTGTCAAATCCTTTGGCGGATTTTATAACATATTTGAGGCAAAAAGATTTACTTAGCCGGATGGTTTGAGTGCTAGTCACCAAAAACTAATACCAGGTTGTCTCACAGGAGCGCCAAACTGTTTGTTTGGAATTAACTGCTGATGATTACGACCGTCCATAACAGCTCACATGAAAATTTCATCTTCGTAAAACTTTTCCGTCCAACAATTCATCGTCCAACGCTCAATGCTTTGATAATTTCAATTTCGAAAAAATTTTCCGCTCACCCCTTATTTTAGTTTTAAAAAATGCTGGCGTTCAACTTTTAGAAAAAAATTAATACTGGCAGTCCCATTTAAATTTTAAAATCTGTTATTTCGCAGTAGTTGAACAGAAAACTTTTCGCTTATTTCATTTGTACCTAATGAAATATTACGATTGACAAATCAACAGATACCAGTCCCAGTTGCAATTCACCACAATTCCACCTACTCAATCTGCTATTTTTTCTGTTTTTTGTAAGCGAATTTTCCAAAAAAACTCAAAGAACGTTTCATTGATTCTTTGATAAAATTAGCTTATCAAAATGTCGCTTCTCATTTCGAAAATTTTGAGGGAATTGTTGAAAAACTAGAACGCTTGATAAATAACAACAAACAGATAACACTTAGATGAAAACACTTCAAACTTAAAAGATTGAAACCACTTTGTAAAATATTGATATCAAATATTGAACAATTACGTGTTGTTGGATTCGATAGCAGACTTTTCTATCTGAACCTGATTCGAAATTTTTTCTTGGAACCCTTAGCGGGTTTCATCTTTTATCAAAGATCAATTTGTTCAAAAAATTTATAGATTTTGTTTGTTAGCTTTACTCAAACTTTTTTTGTTGATAGCCTTCAAGTTTAGCAACAGAAACTTCATCAGATCAGTTTTTTGTAAGCAAAATGGTATACGGTGCAGTAAATGTTATTTCGATAATGAGTAATTGACGTCTTCGTGATTTAAACAAGATTGCGCCTCTGCTCTGTCTTTTTTTTTCAATTTTACCCATCAAAATTACAACTGACGCCAAGTATCAAGCGTTAATGAACAAAAATGGTGATGTTGCACTACTCAAAAGTGGTGAAGAAATTTTAGACATTTTACGAGGAGTCCATCCTGATTTCAAAATGCTGCGAGTTCCAATTTTTCTTGATAAAAACAAGTTTAAATAGTTTTCATTTCAAAATTGGAAATATTTAATTTAACTGTTTATAAAAATTTTAATTGCAAAATTTTGTTAGCTTTTTATGATAACAGGGCACAGCACAATTGAGAAAACGGACTGTAAGTGTGTTCTTTCTAAAAGCAGAATAGAAAGGAAAAAAATAAAAATCATAGACACCAGTATAAAACTGCGACAATCTCTAAAGATTGGTTTTTGCGGTTACTAATGACCTATAGATTAAACGGTCTGGGCTTAGTTGATATAATAGTTCCTGATCACTTTAAAGATTTTTTCCAGCAGAATTTTTTCCATTTTTTAAGAACACGGTTGTTAATCGTAGTGATCTCGACGGAAAAATCAATTTGCAGTGGCAAACCGAATACCGACTAATATATTGCAATGTCTATTAGCTGGTTATTTTTTGAAAAAGTTTTTCTCACCGCTAACTATATCAACTGATGACAAAGTAATTTTGTGGGGAAAAAAATCTTTTTTTTTCAAACAGTGAAAACGGTAAAGCGGTTCAAGGTGTATTTGCCTTTGTAAGCTAAAGTTATATGCTTGATGACTCTGATGTTGAAATGACTGTCATCGCACAAACTTCGAAACTCATTGAAAACAGTGAATACCCGCATCCAAGTTTAGGCGTAAAAAATCGCTTATAACTGATTATTATGATGATTTTTTGACAATTATAATCGATTATAATTACCAAAATTAGGTCTTCAAGGGATTTATAATTGATTATAATCGTGATATTTTCCAAGAGATTATAATCTCTTATAATCGATTATAATCTCTTATAATCGATTATAATCTCTTATTTTGCCGAAATTTTCCTATATTCGAATTATATCTTATGGGTTATTATTTTTGTGTCAATGAGAAAATCTCTACAAGAGAGAGATCTTGAACAATTTGGTTCATCTGAACACAAGGTTTTACCACGAATCAAAAGTTTCATAGAGATCCTTTCATATGAGTGGAAAGATTCTCGCGGTAGATGAAAAATAAATTTTCCGAATCAATCATGAAATTATATCAATTTGCTGATGTTTTGGTTCTTAAAAAAGCTTAAACTATGCATCGCAAAATAATTCTAATGGGAAAGAAAAAAAAACTTATATGTTTGAATTAAATGGAAAACTTTAAAAATATTTTTCTCATTTTTCATAGGAACCAACGTCCACAAAAAGCATAAAGTATAAGAAATTTAGATGCAACTTCGAAGACAAAAATGGACGAACAAAAGGGATTATAATCAATTATAATCGATTTTTTGGATTTTTAAGCAAAACTAATGAAAAAAAATATGAATAAAAACAATGGATAAAAACAAGTCTAATTGTATCGAAAATTAGACGAATAAATAATCGATTATAACCGATTATAATGGATTATAATTAATTATAATTTGATTTTAAAAAGAGAGATTATAATCGATTACTAATTGATTAAAATCGGTTGTTTCTCAATTTTAGTGAGACTGGTACTAAAATCGTAATATAATCGATTATTAACGCTTGAAACTGGATGCGGGTATGCAAAACAATTGATCAAACACTTGATTAGCAATTGAATTTTTATTTCATTTTATGTCAAGATAACTGCTAAACAAAAAGATTAACCCAATGAGATTTAAACCTTCAGACTTAATTTAGAGAAAAATTTTTGCAAGAAAAAAAGATGTCAAAATAACCAACATCTCATGACGAGCCTACATTGGTTAGTTTTGTCACACTAAACGGTGTTGAACATCGAATGCTTGAATTTAAACATAATTTTCTTGAACAAATTTCGCGACCAATTGACATTTGGAGCTATTAAAATGAACAATGATTCTTCAAAGATAGCTTTGAACCAAAAAAATTTTGAAGACTGAATGACAGCTGAGGCAAAAAAATAGTAAAAGAATGGAAAAAAAACTGCAGTGACCGCAATTATATGCTATATGCCATTTCTAGTTTCTCACCACATATCGTTAGCACCATAAAATACTGAATAACAGAGCGCCTGACTTCTTCAAAGTGAATAGGAGTGGAACAGAGAAGTGATAGTCTGTTAAAACAAAAAAAAACGAAGTGTGCTCACATTGAAAATGTTGATCCGATGAAAAGGGCAAGGAAGTGTTACAATACAACATCGACCGTCATCTTTCTGGAAGAAAGAACAAAAATGTGTTTTAAACTAAGAAACCGTATAAATTATTAATCAAGGATTTCATCCTATTGACACTCAAGTATAGACTTTTGCAGAAAGAAATAGTTTTTGTAATTCTCCTGCAGGAGCAGTTTACTGGACAACCGAATCTTGACGAAACCTTTAAAATTGTTTAAGTTTTTTCACCAAGTTCCAGGTGCATAGTACAAATCGAACAAATTAGTTAAGAAAAAAAATAGTGGTTTCAATCTTTGTAATTTTGAAGTGAAGGAAGTATTTTACCTTATTTTGCTAGCCATTTTTAGTTTTTAGCTTTACTCAAACTACACTATTTTGTTTTTGTTATTGTTTTGAAGATGCCACACAAGTTATTTTTGACTGTATGCTAACTCAAGAAAAATTACAAAAAAAATTAAATTCAAATATAAGTTAGAAGTTGCTCAAAATAGTTTTCTAGACATAAACAAAATCAGGTTTTTTTAAAGCAACTTTGAAGTGTTTGTTTTTCTTTGTCGTCTTTTTGACTTGTCTCACTCGACTCTAGTTGACAACTTTGGTATGTTTTTTTTTAGCTAGGAAATTAGTTTTTTTTGTTTTTTCAGCAAAACAAGCGCGGCATTTAAATTTATCAGCAAAATAAGCAAAACATTCCATTTTTTTTTATTGAAAAACACAAAAATAAATAAGGTAAAAAATATTATTTTATAAAATTATCAAAGACAAAAAATTGAAAAATTTTGCAAGTACAAATAATGTGCCTCTAATTGTTCGCCAAAACAACCATTGAGAACTAAATCCCATGGTTGCTCTCTTTTTTCATAATTTTTTTGATTTTTTCGGTGGTCTGACTAATAGCTTGTATCATTTGATGCTTCTTCCAACGTTTGAGCGTGGGGAAAGAAAACTTTTTTCTTTTTTTTGCTGTTAAGGTAGGAAAAAATTTTTGATTCAAGTTGATTATAACTTTGGAGCTTTCCGCAATATTCTAGATGTTTTTCTCAACCAATGGAATTGCCCAACAGTTAAGAAGTTAAAAAAATAAAATGAAACAATTTTTAGAATATAGATTTTTCAATTCGAATTTTGAACACGTCAAAGAAGAAGTCAGCTGCTTAAATAGTCTCGTTCCAAAAATTCTGAAATACGTTGAGCCAAAAAAATATCGAAAACCACCCAAAACAAAAACAATACGTTTCTTATTCTATTTGTTTCTATACCTCACTTACAAAGTTTGATGTATCGGTTTGCTTAGTTATTGTGAATATCAAATATCTAATAAAATAAAGTGACCTAATGTTTGCAACGCGACTTTTTGCGGAAGGAAACCTGGATGGGTTGGATGAGCAAAAAAAAAGAGTCGAACTTGGGAGAAAAACTTGAAAAAAAATTATACTTTTTTTTTCGATTCTGAAACGTCAGTAACAAATTTTCACTTATTAATTAGTCAAAAGGAGCTCAAAAGGAGCAGTTAAAAAAACCATTTGAGCTCTATTTAATCATGAACAAATTTGATTCAAATTTAAAGAAATAGTTTTTGAAAATCTCCTCTTGCTTTTCTATGCGCCCTGCTCACATACCCCCAAGCGTACTGGTTCGCAAACTACTACTTTTTTAAAAATTTTACTGTATTATGAATAAAATTGTGAATGGTTATTTTGAAAATTATCAAACTTCATAGCTTTGAAAAACGTCTTCGAAAAAAGCCTAAAAAAGATAAGATTTGTTGGATGACTTTTTACTTAGGCAAAAAGAGAAACCCTCCTTGCTTTCTGAATGCAATTCACCCGACTCAGTTGCTGCAGCCAATCAAAACAGAGTGGATCTCGGTTAATCCTCCTGTATATCAGTTTCACGGAGTGTTCACACATCAGGAATGTGATGAATTTTGGGCTACAGGTCAGTAGAGTTTACATTTCAAAACTCATTCAAAAAACTGGATCTAACAACCAATCAATTTTGAGACTAATTGAATAGTCAATAGTTTCAAAAGTCAATTGAAAGATGAACTTTTGAATTTTTTTTTTTGCATCAATTAAGAAATAGTATCAGGATTGGTCTGGTAAACATGTATAAAGCAAGAAAAATAGTTTGGCGATTTGATTTTTTGGTGGACAATTTGATTCGCTAAAAATGTCTATTGATCATTATTGCTGTGCATTTAGGTGCCGCACAGCAGTCGAGAAGCACTCTGGTCCAGAAAAAGACGGATGGACTTGGAACGACGGACGACAGTCGCGTTGGAACCAACAGTTGGTGAGTAAGCAGGTATTCCCCTTACATTCCCCTCGTATTCCCCTGAATAAAGTTACTCCACTTTTAACTTCCCCCCTTCCCGTAACGATCAGTTGAACTATCCCCCAAGGTGATTGACGAGTAGATATAACGCATTGGTACGAGCTTCAATAAGCCAACTGAAGTTATTCAGTGAACGAGCGAAGTAGCTTTCCCTTATATAGGCCTTGATCATTTTTGTTCCGGCCATTAAAATGGAGAGGAACTTTGTATTCGGGTGTGCTTTAGTTTTTTTTCTTTTTGTTTTCCAGGCAAAATCAGCTACCACAAATAATCATCGGACAGAAATGAGTGATATATCATATTAAAGCCCTTTCAGTCGTGATTCGAACAACTTTAAAAAATTTAGAAAAATATTTCAGTGTCGAGAAAAACCGTTTAAAAATTTTGATTCAAAGTAGTTTTTGGTGTTTTTAAGCGCAATTTTCGGAATCAAAAGCTTGAAAATTCAAAAATTTTCCGCAAAAAAATTCAAAATTTTTACTTTTTTTTTTCGTTTTTCTAGTCATTTTTCTTCGAAAACTGTTTTACAATTGACATTTTTACTATGATTCTAAAATATGCCTAAGTTTTATTTTTTCGTTCAGATTTTTTTGATCACATCATGCAGAACAAAACCAAACCAATTTAATAAGTCATTTTTGAATTTTTTTGAGATTGCGGTAGGAAAATTCTGCGCTACTTGCACAGTAACCGGCTATTCTTGTTTTTGCTTGTTTTTTTTTCGGAAAAAGTATTAAAAAGCTCTAAAAACTAAAGAAGTGCAGCATACATATTATTGCACTTTTAAAGGCTTAAGTATTTATGCATTTTTGGACTTCAATTCAGTTCATTTGCAAAAAGGTAAGCAAGCTTGATCGATTTTTTGTTTCAAAAATAAACTTTAATTTCTAGATTTCCCAGTGGAATAAAAAAGTTACCTTTTAATCATGTTTTCTCAAAATGGTTTTTCAAATTCGAAGTGTTTCAACATGATATAGTTTTTCTTCGAAATTAAAAAGTTGAAACATGAACAAGAATTGTAAATCGTTTTTTTTTTTGTAAAAGAAAAATGAACGTAGTCAAGACTGTTATATACGTCTTGGTGATTTTTTGTATGTTTTTTTTTCAGGAAAAAGTCTTAAAAAGTCTTAAAATTTGTTCACGCTTTATTTTGATTTTTTGCGGTTTAACTTGTGATTTTTTAAATTTAGTTCATTTCCCTTCTTAAAGGAAGGCAATTTCCACTATCGAACAGCAAAACAAAATCGACTTCTCGTTTCGAAAGTGGAATTTAATTTTCAAATTTCCCAGCGGAAGTTCTTATAAATACCTGATCCAATTTTTTCAAATTGGGTTAAGCTTGTCAAAAATAAGCTTGTTTGAAAAATTCAAAGAGCTTTAAGGCCATCTATATGGCTAGAGTTATGAACGTTTTTTAAAAAAACAAGCCAGTTTTTTTTTTCTGTTACAGTTTTTCATCACTCTTTTCCAAATGTCAGTTGGCTATGTTTTCAGTTTCAATGTTCTTTTACATTTTTTCAATTGTCTATTAGCTATGTCTTGTATGAAATGCCGGAAAAAAAATTGAAAAACTTGAGTTTTTTTCGGTTAATTATTTGGACGATCATTGCTTCGAGGAAAGCAGTTTACTACGCTTTTTACCTTAATACCAACAACTAATCTTTGCAGCTCGTTAAAAATGTACGTTTTTTTCAACTGAAACAGAAAACGACTGGCTTCAAAATGAATACTGCGATCAATTTTTCCCTCCGAAACCATTTTTTGATGTGGCTAATTTTTGTTGTCCTAAATCATCGAAGAGTCTGATGCACAATTTCCTACAACTTAGACAAATTTTGAATTGTTCTAAGCAATGCCTCAATTCCTATAGAGCTATCTTCGCATCTTTTTAGACACATCGAATATTCTTTTTGTGTTGACAGCTTGTTTGTTTTCTTTTCTATTTCACCCTGAAGGCTTCAATTTGAAAAACCTTTAACACTTGACCACCTAACTACCTAAATTGGGCTGGAAAAAACCATTTGTCGTAATTTGTTTCAAGGGCTTTGAAGCGTAACCGGCACAAAACTAGGAATTTTCTGTAAGTAAAATTAATTCCATTCTTCGAAAGATTTTTCTTTTTTTTGCAGAATTTCAAAACGAAACAAAGCTGCATTTTGCAACCAAAAAAAATGGAGAGAAATTTTAGCAGTCTTCGACTAGCTAATTACAAATATTGGAAAAATGCAGCATTGTATTACAGTGACCAAATGGCTGGCCTCAATGTCAATTTAAATTACTTCTGAATTTGAAAAAATAATTAAGTATCATTCTTTATGGATCACAGATTGTTCAAATTGGCGTATTTCAAAGTTAAATTTGCGACAAACGCTTACAGATATAATGTTTGTGGTAGATTTTGCATCGAGAAATGTTTTGACCAAACCGACCCAGGCATTATTGAGACCTAACAAGTTTTGAAAGGCAATACGTGCTGTTGTTTTTTCGGTATGAAAAACTTATGAAAAATCCAAAAAAATGTTTCCCGCGATGATTTCAACTTTTTAGTTTGCTTTGTTTGCTTGTTCCATGAACTGAACTTTTTGCATAATTGCTCTAAATGTTGCATTAATCTTTCAAATATTTCCCTAGTTTTTATAATAAGGCACGGAAACCTTTGTGTTTTTTGTTTAATTTCAAACCCAAGGCGTCATTATCATTCAGATAATGACATGCGACATGCATGCACTACACTTGAAAAAACACCATAGTACATCTACTACACTGCCGTGATTGTTCTGATTATATGCTGTACTACACTATAAAACTGGGGACCGATCGTTTAGCAGACAAATCTTTTAGCATAAAAAGTGAAAAATGAGTCTTTAAGCAGACAAACGTAATAAAGTGATGAATGATTGATTGACAGACTCAAAAAGACGCAAAAAAATTAACTTCAAAAATATGCACGTGATGACGGGTGCTTTTCCTGAAGTAACCGTGTCATAAAACATTCGATAAAAACAATCTAAGTTTTGGATGCTTTGGAGGTTTGAGTTTTACCCCAGCCTAAAGTTATAAAACGTATTTAAAAAAATTAGAGAAATTTTCGGTTTCGTTTTTGAGCTTTGTATTGGTCATTTATTACCACTTCAAAAAAAAACAATTTTTTATTTTCTGGCAACTTTAAGACTGTTTTTGGAGCTGCCCTTTAATTCATCCACGGCAGCTGAATAATTTTAAACTGAGTGACTCTTCAGTCAATCTACGATAATGGAGTTTGCTGCTTACATATGTTCTTCTAGTTTTTCATATTCAAAAAAATCAGATAAAAAAGATACCCTTTTTGGTGAAGTACCCTGAAACTTTTCTAGAAGCGCTTTCGGCGGCAATATATAATAATTTTGAGGGAGGAGTGCGCGCCGAAAAAACTCGATTTTTTGGTCAACATTTTCCAAAGAAAGCCTAAAAACGTCTTCTTGGCCTGTTTTTGGTCTGTTTAACAAAATTTGTTGTGTCAATGAACGTGGTAAAGATGATACTTCTATAAGTCGTGCTGATAGTTTTTTTCAGAGAGTTTTTTTTGAATTCAGATTTTCGTTCAAACATAGAATTGTTTTTTTTTTGTGGTTCGACTTTTCAATTAGAGTGGAAGTAATTTTAAATTACTAATAACGCTTTAAAGTCGTAGAAACTCAATTGGCGCTTAAAAGGTTAGTGAATTTTATTAAATAGATTTTAACTCTAAGAGTTTTCCAGCGGAACAAAAAATGGTTAACCGTCTATTTTTCTCAAACTATTTTATGTTTATGAAAAAATTGCGAATAAAAAAATCTTCTGAATTTGTTATTTTTCTACAAAATTCGAATAATACTTTTTTTTGCAAAAATTTGATCAGTTTACGTGGTCTCATGGAGTTCATGGATATTCTCCAACTGTGTTGTTTTTGTTAAAGAGTCGATGAATGTAGTTCTTTATAGGTCGCGATGATTTTTTTCAGAAAAAAATCTCAACATTTGTTTAGGTTGAAAAAACTTTTTCAGTTAATTTTCTGTGTTGAAGGAAGGCAAACTCCACTTTCGAACAGCAAAAGCGGTAAATGTCATGGACGTGATCGACTTCTAGTGCCGGATTTAGGGGGGGGGACGTTTTCTTTTAGAGATTGGACCCCCTGCCGACCCAAAGGTACTTTTGGCAATATATTCTACTTTTGCAGGGGAGAACGCGCCAAAAAAACGCGATTTTTCGCCAGCATTTTCCAAAAAGTGCCCACAAACGTCTTTTTTGACCGTTTTTTTTTTTATTTATAATTGCTTCTCCCCCCCCCCTTCGAAATCCGCCCCCTCCTCGAGAAAATCCTAGAAACGCTCCTGATTCATATTGGGATAAAGTTTAGCAAATGAGTATCAATCCTAAATTGTTCTATAAATTCAAAGAGTTTTTATGGCATCTACTTTTTTTTAAAAATTCGAAAGTTATGATGTTTGAAAAAAGAGCCAGAATTTTTTTCTGTTTACTTGCGTTAATTGAGTATGTTTTAGGATGCGCAATGCAGATTCGTCAGTTGTAAAAATGTTCAGTGATAGAGTGAGTTACGCAACTGGTGTACAAACTGATGTGGAGGTGGAAGATTGGCAGGTAACGATGGATTTGTTCATAATGACAATTCTTTCACCATGCCGCAATGAAGTTTCACGTATAATGTACACATACACTATTACAGCATCATTTTTCTAGCGTCGCGTTTAAAGTTCTTATCAAATTTTTAATTTTCTACAATCAATTTTTCATCAAAAAATTTTAAGTACAATATACACATACACTATGACAGTATAAAATCTCTAGCTTTGCGGTATGGACTCACTAATAGACCAGTTTTGTCAGTTCTAAATCCAATGCCACCATTGGCGTTCAGGTAGCCTCCTACGGCATCGGAGGGCACTACTGGTTCCACCACGACTACCTTCCGGAGGACTCGGACTTCATGGGACACCTGGGTAACAGACTGGCCACCTTCATGGCATACCTGTCAGACGTTCCCCTCGGAGGCGCCACAGCATTTCCCAATCTCAAACTTAGTTTCTTCCCTGCGAAAGGTACCGAAAAAAAGAGAGCTGTTTTATAGATGTAAGAACCACAAAACTGCTGGAACCTAACTTTTGAAACAAGCTTTGCCAAACAGCCGAGTGATACGACAGAATGGATAAGACATTAGTTCTTAAAGTGTCATGTACATTTCAGTCGCTTTTTTAAGCTCACGAGTAGAAGGGGTATTGAGCTTTTGCTACTACGCTGACTGAGAGCTATAGTAGGAAAGGCCAACGTTTATTCAATCTTTACTACTCTTAGTTTCTAACATCATAAAGATTAAATTGATCATTTTTTGTCTAAATTTTAAGCAAATCGCAGAAAAGGTTTCTGGTCAAATAATAGTGACCACATATTGCTGTATTTTAGTGTCACGTTGATAAAATCCTTGCAGTTGAAACGATTTCTCAAAATAAATTTTTTCCAGACAACATTTTTGCCTTTTTCTCGCAAAAAGTTTTTTTTTAAGTCAAACATTCTAATATTTTTCAGGTAGCGCATTGTTCTGGTTCAACACCAACCTCAACCAAGCAGATCTTCCCCAGACACTCCATGGGGGCTGTCCAGTGCTACTGGGCGCGAAGCATATAGGCAACAAATGGATTCGATACAAGGGACAGTTCTTGACTTACCCCTGTGGGAAAACGCCGAAGTCACTACCCACTCTTCCTGCATCATTGTGCACTTATTCATGATTAGCTCCCAACAAAAAATAACTTGAAGAGATTTTGGAAGTTAATCAAAAAACTATATGTTAAAAATGTATCCATTTGATTCTAGCATGATTCAATTAGCACAATTATAGTGTCAATTTATTAAGGAAATTATTTCAGGTTATAGCATGATAAACTTGCCGACATAAAATGAAATGAAATCAGCAGAAAATAAAATCGATTCTATTCAAAGGCACCTGTTAGTGACTTTAAACAATAGTTTTGAGAGGAAAACGGTTAAATTTTTGAAATAAAATCCAAAAAAGCTCCTAATTGTCATCTATTTCAAAAAAACAAATTATTGAAACATAGTTCTTTTACTGTTGCACAAAACCCCAGCAGTTCAATGATAAAAGTCTTTAAAAAACTTGTTTTTGTTAAGCAGTCTTTTTGGAGTTCAAGGAATCAATGATGCTGGTCCAGAGAAAAAAGGTTTTAATGCTTTTTTTTAGAGAAGTCATATGCAACCTACAAAACCAAACTGACAGCGAGGCAAAAAAACAAGGTAAATACATATTTTTTAAAAGAAATTGTCATCAAAAAATCAATTTCATTTTTTTTTTTCAAAAAAATATAGATTGGAAATGTTTTGAGTTACAAAATTAATCGACTGCTTCAATTGGTGATTTCAGATCACCTCTGCATAAACTAACAAGCGATTTTGTATCAGGACAAATCGCCGAGTATTTTGACTGGCCTTTAAAACATCATCTCAAGCACTTTTTGAAAAACTGTTGATCTTCTAATAATGCGTTAAAGGAACCAATATGCTTGCCTCCATTCAATCTACAATGAATTTGAGCAAAATTAATTGTAACTGACGCTACAAAAAGTTTTTTCCCTCCTGAATTACCACTTTTTTCAGACCAAAAATCTGACGAACAAAAATCACCAGAAAACTGACCTTTTTACTGACTTGTTTATCTAAAAACCAGAACTATAAAAAAAACGTTTTGAAAGACAAACGTTGAATTTTAAGGACTTATTTACATAGTTATTGAATTGAAATACATTATTCGAGCCCTGCTCCTGTCTGAACACAGCTCCGCTTTTGGATAATTTGAATAAGAATTTCCGTCTCTTCTTTTCGGCGTATTTTTTCAGCTTTTTCCACTTACTTGTTTACTTTGAGTTCCTTTTCAATGAGTTTGTCATTTTTTCGTTTGAACACCTGTATTTCTGTTTGAAAACCCACGCAGTTCTGTGCTGCTTCTTCTTTCTCCGCTTTGCCTTCATTGACTTTTTGTGAAAACTGTCGGCGATAACACTATGCATTGTAGTTATCCAGTCCAAGATTGCAGCAAGGATCATTTTCGAGAATCTTCAATTCACTGAAACCTGATGCAACCATCATATTGTGAGGGCACAGCACTGGTACGGACTCGACGATATTCTTGAACAATTTTCACGATTTTTTATGGCATCTACTTTTTTTAAGTTCGAAAGTTATGATATTTGAAAAAAGAGCTAGAATTTTTTCTGTTTACTTGCTGTTTCTAACATCATAACGATTAAATTGATCATTTTTTGCCTAAATTTAAAGCAAATCGCAGAAAAGGTTTCTAGTCAAATAATAGTGACCACATTTTGCTGTATTTCAGTGTCACGTTGATAAAGTCCTTGCAGTTGAAACGATTTCTCGAAATAAATTTTTTCCAGACATCATTTTTGAATTTTTCTCACAGAAAGTTTTTTTTTAATGTTTCGAAAAAGTTTTAATGCTTTTTTAAAGAAATCATATGCAACCTACAAAACCCAAACCGACAGCGAGGTAAAAAAAACAAGGTAAATACATATTTTTTTAAGAAATTGACATCAAAAAAGTCATTTTCATTTTTTTTCCAAAAAAATAAAGATTGGAAATGTTTTGAATTACAAAACTAATCGACTGCTTCAATTAGTTATTTCAGATCACCTCTGCATAAGCTTAATACAAAACTAACAAGCAACGAATTTGAGCAAAATTAATCGTAACTGACGCTACAAAAAGTTTTTCCCCTCCAGGGTTACCAATTTTTTCAGACCAAAAATCTGACCAACAAAAATCACCAGAAAAGTGACATTTTTACTGACTTATTTTATCTAAAAGCCAGAACAATAAAAAAACGTTGTGAACGTCAAACGTTGAATTTTAAGGAATTATTTACATAGTTATTGAATTGAAATACATTATTCGAGCCCTGCTCCTGTCTGAACACAGCTCCGCTTTTGGATAATTTGAATAAGAATTTCCGTCTCTTCTTTTCGGCGTATTTTTTCAGCTTTTTCCACTTACTTGTTTACTTTGAGTTCCTTTTCAATGAGTTTGTCATTTTTTCGTTTGAACACCTGTATTTCTGTTTGAAAACCCACGCAGTTCTGTGCTGCTTCTTCTTTCTCCGCTTTGCCTTCATTGACTTTTTAGGAAAACTGTCGGCGATAACACTATGCATTGTAGTTATCCAGTCCAAGATTGCAGCAAGGATCATTTTCGAGAATCTTCAATTCACTGAAACCTGATGCAACCATCATATTGTGAGGGCACAGCACTGGTAAGGACTCGACGATATTCTTGAACCCTTTTCACGATTTTTTATGGCATCTACTTTTTTTAAGTTCGAAAGTTATGATATTTGAAAAAAAGAGCTAGAATTTTTTCTGTTTACTTGCTGTTTCTAACATCATAACGATTAAATTGATCATTTTTTTTCTAAATTTAAAGCAAATCGCAGAAAACATTTCTAGTCAAATAATAGTGACCACATTTTGCTGTATTTTAGTGTCACGTTGATAAAGTCCTTGCAGTTGAAACGATTTCTCGAAATAAATTTTTTCCAGACATCATTTTTGACTTTTTCTCACAGAAAGTTTTTTTTTAATGTTTCGAAAAAGTTTTAATGCTTTTTTAAAGAAATCATATGCAACCTACAAAACCCAAACCGACAGCGAGGTAAAAAAAAACAAGGTAAATACATATTTTTTCAAGAAATTGACATCAAAAAAATCATTTTCATTTTTTTTCCAAAAAAATAAAGATTGGAAATGTTTTGAATTACAAAACTAATCGACTGCTTCAATTAGTTATTTCAGATCACCTCTGCATAAGCTTAATACAAAACTAACAAGCAACGAATTTGAGCAAAATTAATCGTAACTGACGCTACAAAAAGTTTTTCCCCTCCAGGGTTACCAATTTTTTCACACCAAAAATCTGACGAACAAAAATCACCAGAAAACTGACCTTTTTACTGACTTGTTTATCTAAAAACCAGAACTATAAAAAAAACGTTTTGAAAGACAAACGTTGAATTTTAAGGACTTATTTACATAGTTATTGAATTGAAATACATTATTCGAGCCCTGCTCCTGTCTGAACACAGCTCCGCTTTTGGATAATTTGAATAAGAATTTCCGTCTCTTCTTTTCGGCGTATTTTTTCAGCTTTTTCCACTTACTTGTTTACTTTGAGTTCCTTTTCAATGAGTTCGTCATTTTTTCGTTTAAACACCTGTATTTCTGTTTGAAAACCCACGCAGTTCTGTGCTGCTTCTTCTTTCTCCGCTTTGCCTTCATTGACTTTTTGTGAAAACTGTCGGCGATAACACTATGTATTGTAGTTATCCAGTCCAAGATTGCAGCAAGGATCATTTTCGAGAATCTTCAATTCACTGAAACCTGATGCAACCATCATATTGTGAGGGCACAGCACTGGTACGGACTCGACGATATTCTTGAACAATTTTCACGATTTTTTATGGCATCTACTTTTTTAAGTTCGAAAGTTATGATATTTGAAAAAAGAGCTAGAATTTTTTTCTGTTTACTTGCTGTTTCTAACATCATAACGATTAAATTGATCATTTTTTGCCTAAATTTAAAGCAAATCGCAGAAAAGGTTTCTAGTCAAATAATAGTGACCACATTTTGCTGTATTTCAGTGTCACGTTGATAAAGTCCTTGCAGTTGAAACGATTTCTCGAAATAAATTTTTTCCAGACATCATTTTTGACTTTTTCTCACAGAAATTTTTTTTTTAATGTTTCGAAAAAGTTTTAATGCTTTTTTAAAGAAATCATATGCAACCTACAAAACCCAAACCGACAGCGAGGTAAAAAAAACAAGGTAAATACATATATTTTTAAGAAATTGACATCAAAAAAGTCATTTTCATTTTTTTTCCAAAAAAATAAAGATTGGAAATGTTTTGAATTACAAAACTAATCGACTGCTTCAATTAGTTATTTCAGATCACCTCTGCATAAGCTTAATACAAAACTAACAAGCAACGAATTTGAGAAAAATTAATCGTAACTGACGCTACAAAAATTTTTCCCCTCCAGGGTTACCAATTTTTTCAGACCAAAAATCTGACCAACAAAAATCACCAGAAAAGTGACATTTTTACTGACTTATTTTATCTAAAAGCCAGAACAATAAAAAAACGTTGTGAACGTCAAACGTTGAATTTTAAGGAATTATTTACATACTTATTGAATTGAATTACATTATTCGAGCCCTGCTCCTGTCTGAACACAGCTCCGCTTTTGGATAATTTGAATAAGAATTTCCGTCTCTTCTTTTCGGCGTGTTTTTTCAGCTTTTTCCACTTACTTGTTTACTTTGAGTTCCTTTTCAATGAGTTTGTCATTTTTTCGTTTGAACACCTGTATTTCTGTTTGAAAACCACGCAGTTCTGTGCTGCTTCTTCTTTCTCCGCTTTGCTTTCATTGATTTTTTGTGAAAATTTTCGGCGATAACACTATGCTTTGTAGTTATCCAATCCAAGATTGCAACAATGATCATTTTCGAGAATCTTCATTTCTTTGAAACCTGATGCAACCATCATATTGTGAGGGCACAGCACTGGTACGGACTACACGATATTCTTGAACCGTTTTCTCAATAAAACTAGATTTTAAGGGGTTTCCCTTCACAAGTCGCGAACAATGAATAACTTTAGCTTTCAACCGCCCATTTTGTTTTGGGCAACAACAAGTGCAAACTGTTATTGGATACTCAATTGACTTGCGGTAGAAGTCGCAGCAGCGCAGAGACAATTCAGCCTCAAGCAATTCAGCAAATTTCAAATAAAGACGATTCAGTAAAAAAAACAGAAAAAAAGACAATTCAGCCAAAGACAAAAGTTTAAATCAGGCAAAAGTTTAAATCAAAGAAAAAATATAAGGTTTTTCAATTGATCGAAATCAGAAGGTTTTTTGACACTTAAACAAAGAATGTGAGAAATCAAAAACCAAGTTTTAAAGATCAAAACAAATATGCTATGCTTTAAGTTTTATGATATAACTACAGTAAAGTCACAATGTTTTAAATACTGCTGTTCATGGTCTCGATTGTAATTACTTGGGTTTTGCACAAGTTCCTCATTGGCGACTGAATAATTGGGTTTCGATTAACTGATAATATCACCGGCCATCAGTCTTTCCACCTTAAATTCGTCATTTTTTGCTCAATTTTTATATTTGAATTTATTGAAGCTGCCATTTCATTTTTCCAATGCATTATTCGTACGAGATTCTCCGCTGATCACCCGATCAAAATCATTCCAATCCGCATTGTCAAATTTTGGTTTGACGCGTCATTTTCTTCGACAGGAATCAAAATAAGTGTCTTCAAAATAGTCCGCTCTGCTCTGAAATTCCTTTGAAGGATCTTCTTTTCGGAGCTCCTTAAATGCGAATGCTATATCGTCAAGGGGAACCAATGCCAAGCAAATCATTTTGTGACATTTTGGCGAAACTCACCAGCGTCCATGTACTTGCGCAAAAAACAAAATTTTGTACTTTGCGACCGTGTGGAAAAAAAAACAATTGGTTTTCTGTATCAGGCTGCATTTTCAAATTTTCAATCAATCCTGATAAATGTATTTTGGAGGACTGGCGGAATGCGCATTCATCTTCAATGGCAGATGCTCCTTAAATCAAGGGGAACTAAGTAAAACTGAATCGAATTTATTTTTAAATATTTGTGCAGAAAACATTTCAACTGGGTATTATTCTGATCATCCTCCCTACCTCAAAGCAAGCTCGAGATGAATTAGTACGGAGTAACTGGCTTGCTAAAAAAAAATTTCCAGGTGACGAGAGAAACCTAGATTGAAACAGTCAAAAAACATAGTCTCCTCTAACTAACTAACAAAGTAGACAGCAAAAACCGCATGAAAAGGTTCTCACTTTTCTTTTTTAAAATTGGTATCTAATTAGTTAGAACATTGTGATTTGTAGAGCAAACAACTATCCTCAACTTAATATAATTTGATTAAAAGAAATAACCTGGTTTCATAATTTAAATATATCTTGATCAAAAATATTTACATGCACTTTCAAACCAAAAATAGCCGACAGCAGACGCTTGGAAAAATGTCAATGAACTTAAAAAACGAAAGAGAACAGTTATTGAACATTTTTCACCTACCGGTTTTCTAAAGAAAAAAAATTCTTAATCACATTAAAAATCTTTGTATCATAGAAACAACGCAAGAAAAAACACTGCCGAAACATTAGATATTTATTCACTCGGTTTTGTAAATCTTAAAGTTAATTTTTGAAATAAAGACTTTCACAATTTTTCTTTATATCATTAGAGCGTTATCGCCTTCCATTTAGTAATCAATTTGGATTGATTTTTAACGAAATTGAAAGTCAAACAGCAATTTATCAATTCTCAACTTGAACTTTGAGCTTTGTTTCCAGAAGACAGCAAATTACCACACGACTTGAATTTATTGCTTATCACTTCGTTCATTACGATTAACTAGGGTTGACTATGGTTAATCACAAATTCGGGTCTAGCTTAAGTTAGCTGAACTGTCATTAACTTCAAACCCTGAGACGCAAATGTTTGGGGAAAAGCCAATATGAAGACGGGGTGCTGCATTATATGATGTTCCCTTCACTTACCAGCTAAGATTTTCGTATGCGGTACCCAAAAGCGCCATTAAAACTCAAAATTGGCTAGTTTCTTCACGTTTTTTTTGAGATTATCAGTACAATAAAATCAAACTGTTGCTACTCGAACCGAAAACTTAACGGCTTCCTTTTTATCCACTTTTAGCATCAACACCAAAAGAAGTATCAGCAATTTGTAGAACAACAAATGAAACGAGTTTTTTTATGATGCTTAATAGTCAAACCGTCTCGCTAATTTTTTTTTTCAAATTCATATCTAGTCAAACCAGCTGCACACAGCCGAGCACCGGCGTCAAAAAACAGACACAAGCAGTATTTTCTAGCGTTATTTTAATATAAATATCTTGTACACATGCGTTTTTATTATTAATCTTCAAGCATAACAAAACAAATGGCTTAGCCGCTGTTCACCACGTAAAAGGTGATTAAAATTCCAAATTTTGGACCTCAAATATTCAATTATGGATTACAATTTAATCATGGCTCGGAATCCTGACGAAAGTGGAAGTCAAGACAACGCCACGCTCTTTAAAACAGGGCCAAATAATACCCAAAATATCACACGTTTACCTTCCGTCGGATTCGACAGACAAACATTTCGAAACAAAATATCAGCGCCAATTTTGACCACAAAAAATAAAATTGAAGCAAACAGGCTAACTCGCAACTCTTTGGAATACGACCTAGTTGACCTGAAACTGAGCAAGAATAGGTCACGTGAATTTGAACTGTGGAAAGAGGCGTCTGAAAACGATCCACCTTATCCAGACCATTATGACCCCGAGTACAACAGCAACGTCTGGCGCAACTTCGTCAGGGACAATGGTGGTATTTCATTAACCAGCCGCGGTAGAGTGACTGAATCTATTGCCAAAATGCACCCATTGCCTATCCCGACGTACAACAGACTTGGTCGCTACACGTTTGCTAAATTTCTCAGTGAAGTGTCCGTAATTCCAGATGGAAGAAAGAATCAGAGTCAAATCATTCGTCATCTTAGTGACCTTAAGGAGTACAAGCGGCTGAAACTGAAAAGCGAAGGTCGACGACCTCCTGTTGATCTTATGGGACGAATTGTTCCTCCTTCCACCATGAAGAAATACACGAAAAGAATCAACGATTCACCAGAGCCTGTTGGTCCGGATAACGACCCGCCTTATTACATTGTCGATCTACAAGACACTAAAAAGCTGGAGCAAAACAAGAGCTTCCCAGTCAGATACATATTTAAAGAAAACGCGCTGAGACAAAACTAAATTGATAGTTGCGTAATGAACCTAATGAGACGAACACAATAAATTTGATCAGATGTACAATATACAAAAATCCAATTCTTCAGTCAAAGGAAAGCGTTTTTATTTTGGTTTAATAATAGTTTTAAAATCGAATGTTTTCTTCTAAAACCTATATGAGAAAGAAAGTTTTCATAAGTTGCGTGTTACTTTTTCTTAGAATTGATTATTTTGTGGAACTCTCCCATGATCTGTGTTTCTTTTTTCATCCTTTCCTCTCTGTTGAAACTGGCCAGAGCCGCTTTTTCATCTGCACTGTAAATCTGGTTCTCTTTTCTCAACCTCACAGCTTCCATGCGTCTGTGTCGACTGCCACTCATGACATAACCACTCACTTCGTAGTTTTCTATCTCTCCGCTCGTCAGTCCAATTTCACCCCTCCTCGGAATTCGTTTTCCATCTTTGACAAACGCCGCCATAGCAGCTCCTTCGCCCGGTAGTAGCGCGTCACCGTAACTAGAAACAACGTACAGCATTAATTTGATAACAATTTTTTGAGAATTTACTATAAGGGCCAGATTTCCGTCGTTACGAGCACTGTATCTAAGTAATGCCTCAAAATAAGCCATTCAAGGAATTAGCTAGATGCAGTACACACACACAAAGAAAAAAGAAAGCATAGCGAGATAATTTGAAAACATGCTTTCATTCAACGTTTCTCTGGAGTACCTGTTTATGCTCTAAATATACAAGGATCTAATGTATCTTAGCAGTAAAAATATTACCGGAGCCAAAAGTTACTATACTGACTTACAGGGGCGGATCTAGGATTTTCTCAAGGGGGGGGGGGATTTTCAAAAAATTTTCCAAAATTTTGACGACCTTTTTTTTAGGTCGACCAAATTGATTTTTCGAGCTCTCCCAAAGCACTGTTTTGCCCCTATTTTGCACTTTTTGGGCACTACAAGCCGTTTTTGGGCACTTTTTGAAAAATTTTGACAAAAAATCGCGTTTTTTTTGGCGCGCGCTCCCCCTCTAAGTTAGTATATATTGGCGCCAAAGGCGCCTTTAGAAAAAATTTAGGGTCGGTCGGCCAAAAATGGATTTCTGAAAAAGTATCAAAGGGGGGACCCTTTGGGTCGGCAGGGGGTCGAATCCCTGAGGGGTGGGCGTCCCCCCCCCCCCAAATCCGCCCCTGCTGACTTATACTGAGCTTTGACATTAATTGACACGTCAAAGTCAGATTCAGCAAGAAGATGAAGCAACATTAGGTTTCAAAAATATTCGACAGCAAAAAAAACAAGTTTTTATCTTAGCAGCAAAAAGCATTAAAAAAAATTATCACTCAAGTCGAAGTGGTGATAGATAATTTTTTATTGAATCCAACTGCTCGTGAGAAAAATTATCTCTAACGATTAGATTAACAACATTGAAGCATTCAAGGGTGAGAAACTACGCAATTTCAGAGCCTTTTGATTATGTGAAATGGAATTGATTTAAATGGAATTTATTTAAAATTGTGGAATTACTAGACGCCGAAAAACCGAGCACCACTCACAAGTGACCAGAACAACTTACTCCATTTTGGAATCCGATTTCACTCCTAGAGCACCAAGTTGTATCGACTCGGGAATCATTGGCCCAATGATCGGTCCCTTGGATTCGTCACGCTCCTCTTTACGCTTCGCCTTACCACCGACATCTTTCTCCACCCACTCGTCTCCGCTATCGCTGCTGCTTGATGACTCAGTCGAAGATGAACTGCTGGACCGTTTTCTCTTTTTAGATTTCTTCCTCCTTTTCTTTGATTTCTTTTTGCTCTTTTTACTGTTAATACAAACGACCAACTTTGCAGAGCAACATAGAGCTAAATATTCAAAAGAAAGTAAGAACTTTGTGTTTCGACCATCTGTTTGAAAAAAAAACATCTCACAGTTACTTACCACCTGTGTATCTGTGTTAGAGGTGTATCTGTGTCGAGAAAAACTGGTCTGAAACTTTTTTTATCATTCGAATAATATACAAGTTTTTGAAAGGAAATTATCAGGTCCGGATTGGAATCAAGTAGCCCCAATATTTTTGAGACAGTTTTTTTACAGATAATGAACTGAACTGAAATCAAAAGTCAAACCGCAAAAAATCTAATTGAGAGTGAACAAATTTTTCTTGAAAAAAAATATGTCCTAAATCCAACGTTCTACAGCGAAAATTGGTATGACACCTTTGAATACAAGATCAATCAGCGGCAATGTGGTAAATTAATGATTGTGGAAACTTTGAAATTAAAGTCAACCATTGATTGTCAACAATTCAAACTTTTGAAAATAAAGTCAACTCAGAGGTCAAAACAAGAAAATATTCGGTTTTTTTCTTCGACTTAACCTTGAGTATAACCTTCTATAAAATAAAAAAAATGCCAGTTCATTACGGAAACCTTTTTGAATTCAAAAAACATCTCAAAATTTAACTCAAATTCTGAAATTTTTGGCAAATCGAATTCTTGAAAACATCTCCAACAAATCAACAAAAAAATTCGAATCATTTTGCAAATCGAATTCTTGAAAACAACATGTGAAATTTATATTTCTGAAAAACCAAATATAGTTTTGCAATAATTGAAAAAATATAAATAAAATTAGACTTCGTTATTTTTGATAATTCTACTTCCGATTACTTCATAAATAAAATAAACTTAATTACCAAATTCCTTCAGTGTGATAATTTGAATATTCTGCCTATTTTCATTTCAATTTATCTGCTTTTGCAATTTACTTCGAAAGTATCAACCTTCTGATTAGTCCAATAACAATCCGTCCGATTAATATAAAAAAGATAACTCAATTTTTTCTACGAAATTAGGGGTGCTAGATCTGTGCCCGAATTTAAGTACTCTCCGATTAATGGAGGTAAGGCTGTACATCCATGATTGTGGAAACTTTGGACTTAATGCCAACAACTAACTGTAAAGAGAATTATAACTTTTGAAAAAATGTCAACACAGGTCAAAGATAGAAAAAATTCGATTTTTTCTTTTGTTTTTTTGATGATTTAAACTTGATGATAACCTTCTAAAACACAAAAAATGCCAGCTTATTAAGGAAGTTTCTCTTGATTTAAAAACATCTCACAATTTTGAATCAACTCTTATATCTCCACCAAGTCAACTCAAGTCTTCAAAAATTGAAAATTTTTGCTCATTGAATTCTTGAAAACAAAAAGTGAAACTCATAATTTTGAAGAAAAAAGTTCTGAAGTGAAACTCATAATTCTGAAGAAGAAACTCTGATATCAGCTAGAAAAAAATCTCACTCCTCAAAAATTCTTCTAGGAAAACAGTAAAACAACATCAAAAATGGCAAATTTACTGAATTACAAGTTATCCATTTTGGATGTTTCTGTGAAGAAAAAGATACCAATAAGGCTGTTAATTTAACCATTGCTATGTTACAATAGCACAAAAAAAAATTGATTTCCGCTTTGTTAACGAAGTTGAGTGTGTTTCTGTCTCATTTTTGTCAAAGACGAAAATTTGCGCATCTAACGACTGCAACCTTTTAGTTAGTACCTGGTAGTAAGATTTCACTTCCTCAGAAAAAACGTTTGATAAGTTTTTGACAAAAACTATAATGTATTTATAACTGCGCTCTGCCTAAAAAACCATAGTTATAGGTGCGCTCTGCCGAAATGACTTTTTAAAACCCTATTGGGCTAATTATTCTTAATAGCTCAACAGCTGTAACTGATTTCAACTACATTGCCTCGATTGCAGTCAGGAAGAAAATTTGGTTTCCTTTCAGTGTTTTTTGCCAAAAATACTACTTATAAGTGCGCTACTTTTTCCATTTTTCAACAAGCAAGGCTAAAATATAATGAAAAATGCTTAACTAATATACAATCAAATGCACCATAATGTGAGCCAACGCTCCGAAGCCTCGTTTATATGTTTTGACAATCAGATACTATAATATGTGTATTTCAATGTTTTTTAAAGTTTTCATCTGGGCCGAAAAATGCCTCGTTTTTTAGGCAACTGATTTTTTTCATGGTAGCATAAGGTTTGGAGCCCATGCGTTATCTTCAACCTCTAGAACCAGACTTATTGAAAGCAGAACAAGATTTTTCAAATTACTTTTTTACTCCCAACTCCTTTTTTTGCGCCAAAGAAGTGGTTTAAAAAACTGATTACGTGTTTTTTACCATTGACAAAAAAACAGTGTCTTGCAAGATACCTTGAGCAAAAGTTAGTATCAAGGATGTTGAATAGAAGCACCATAACCTTCTGGTATACTGGAAAACTTGATCAGGCTTTCAATTTCGTGAAAAAGAATGACAAAGTTTGAGAGCCAACTCATCAGCTTGTGCGTGTCTTTGTTACTGATTTTCATTTTCGAGAGTACGTTTGAAACAAAAATAGGTAAATGTTACCCGAAAAAAAGTTTGAAATCTATAAAAAGAATTATCTAATATTATAGAAGTGCTAAAAAGTCGGCAGAGCGCACGTATAATTAAAAGAGTACCAAGTTGGTATTTTTTTCCAAATTCAAAAAAAAGTTGATAACTCGAATGGTTCTCGCGATGAAATACGTTGTTTTGCTCCCACAAAAATTTTCACGCAGATAGGTTGGCCCAAATTTACTCTAGAGCTGGAGTGCGCTCTGCCGGTGTCAAATTTCGGGTCATAAGTGCGCTCTGCCGAAACAACACCGGCAGAAAGCACGCTATAACTATATATTTACACGATTTTTTTGTTAAACTCTTGCACAAACAAATCAATGATTCTCTGGCTAACAACGTGCTCAGTAACACCCAATTTGGTTTCAAACGTCATATTTAACGATGGACGCTACAGCACTGAATTTTCTCACAACTCGATGGATAAAAAATTACATTGCCGAATCACTATTAGATCGATGAAAAGCGCTCTATTCTATTAATCATAAACATGTGAAGACAAAATTGAAGAAATACGGATTCTCTGATACAGCAATAGAAATTATTAATTGTTTTATAAGCAATAGGCAACAGAAAACAGTAGTACATAATACAGAATCCGATTGGATCTAGCTGCACCAGGGTGTACATCAATGTACGATTTTGGGTTTCAAAGAAAGCTTCAGCTGTCATTATAAAGTAAAGTTTTTTAACGAAAATCAATTATAAATTGGAACCAAATTGAAAACCCAAATGCAATTATAATCAACAGCAGCCTAACTTATAAGGCAAGGAAGTTAAAATTTAAAAATTATCTATTATCTGTTTTTAGTGAAGATCCGTCTATGGTAACCTATGGAAAAATTGCATGGAATCAATTCAAACTGATAACCAATATTTTGGGACTTACGACTTTTTGGGAGACCTTTTTGATGAATCCAGGCCAGTGTTTTTTCTTTTCTTGGTTCTAAAACAAAACTTCACTTGCACCATTCAATTACGAGGTCATTAAAGAAAAAAAATATATCTTACTTTTCTTCACCTTCGGACTCAGATGATAGAATGGGAGGCGACGGTGATCGGCCCCAGAACTTTCGTTGAAAATCTGTAACATGCTCACGAAGCTTCCGTCGCTTACTTAGTTGGTCAAGAAGTCGACCATGTTCGTCTTTTTCCTCATATCTTCGAAGTTTGGCATCTGGAGTTAGATAATCATAAGTTCGTGATTTCTCAAGTGCACTCATTATGAAAATTGAAAAAGCTGGCTATTCTCATATTCTGATTTTCGGTGTTTTGCGCATTTTACCCTAAAATCGACAGTGCCATGATTTGTTCGGGCAATCGCTAAAGGTGGCTTGTCAAAGTAGTTATCAAAGGGTTATCAAAATAGTCGCACTTTTATTGCAATCTAATTCCATGATAGCAAAGTTATCACACAAAAAATGTTTCAAGTCTATTGCATTTTACGTAAGCTGAATTTGGAAAATAAAACACTTTAATCGTTCGGATAAAAGTAGTCCTAATTTTGTTACGAATTTGCCTTTTCAGTCATATTTTGTTTTGCTGCTTACCATTTAACAAGAATTTTTTTCGGGCCACCCGGCAATGCGATTCTGAAGGTACGCGCCTCGCTAAGAGGAGCTCAAAGCTCCTAATGTCTTTTTATGGAGGCAGATTCAAATACTGTTAAAACAGCTTCTGCCTTCACTAGTTTGCGCATGCAGTCCATCTAAAGAATGGTGCTATTAAACTTTACAGATCAATTGAGCAATCTCCCCACCACCCCCTTCCGCGTGGGGAAAGATAGCTCAATAGGTACTTGGGATATGTTTATAACCACGTGAAAACAGTTTGAATGAAATGAAACCATTAATCAGATTCTCCAACGAGTGTGGAACCCCAAAAGTCACAATATTAAAACTTGAAAGACTTTCAGAGTGAAAAAATCACAAAATGGATGCCTGTAAAGAAAATGCTATTGTGTACATCATTATTAAGGTGCTTCGGAGAACAATTTTTGGTGTACTTATACAGAGCTCACTTAGAAAAAAAATTTACTTAGAAACGTCTCATAAGATAAACTTTGTGACATTCGACCAGAATGGATCAAAATGCAGATTCAGCATATTCGAAATTATAGCAGTGAACCTTCCGAATTGGCGATTTTGAGGGAATAAGAGCGTTATTGGAACGATTGGCCAAACGGTGAGGGCTAGAATATTCTGGTATTTTAAAATTTTAAAAATTCGAATTATGACGTCATATTTCTGAGAAACGTCAGAAACGGCCATTTTGGAAGAAAAGTCGAAGAAGGACACAACAACGATAGTTGCGACGACGACAACAACGAGAAAATTGAGAATCAGAATCAGAGAAAAGCAGAAGTAGCAAGACCACTCCAAGTTGCAACTATTGTGTCGCTACAATAGTTGCAAGGCAGTTGCTAACAACAGTGAGGGGTGGAAACCAGCCTTCCGGGTTACAGAGAAATCAAGCTTAACGTGCTTGATTCAGTGGATTCGAGAATCAGGAGGGGTTTCGGGACTGAAACTTTTATCATCTTATATGACTTTTAGCTTCCCTGTCATGTCCTGATTTGAATTTAATTAACATCTGAATTCATTCTACTAAGATGAGAAGCTAGGAGTTGGGGGAAAGGGTTGATCCATCTTCGATGGAGATGATGATTTTTATCTACTGAACAAAAACAATAATAATTTAATAAGTAGTAGTAGCCCTGTTTTTAGGAGTGAACTCGTGGTCTGGGGATACTGGGACCCAGCCATGAGCTCACTATTTCTGCATGTAATTAAGTTACTTTGAGTGTTTTGACCGAAGCCGAAAGCAGTAACGTTTTTGTCGACCCGATGTTAGAAAGACCACCGAAAGTACTGGCTTGGTAGAGACGGTGAAAAGCATGCAAAGCTCTGTTTAGACGTTAGCCAGTCGTCTTAGGTCTTAGTTTTGTCGATATGAATCTTCCGGGCGAATGTTACATACATGTTTTTATGGCGCTCCTGGGTGTTATTCTTTTTTAACATCATGACCGGCAGAACCGTTAACGAGCACTCCGCGCCGAGCGGATGCTCACATTAACGCCCTTAATAGGCCAAAACCGCCGGGGCGGAAGGGTAGTTCGGAACGCGGAAGTCTTCCGGATTACCGTGAATAGCTTTTTAACCTAGTTAAGACCGAAAATTCACGAACCAGGAAGGGTGGGGGGATTCGCGGTCCCGTCATCTCCTGAATGGTCCGTGACCAAAAACACTTAAAGACATATGAAACCAAACAAAAAGTAGTATAGTACCCAAGAAAAACAAAAAACATAAAAAATAACCGAAAAAACAAAAAACAGAAAAAAAGTAAAAAATCAGTAGAAACCATCCCACCAGACAAGATGTTATCCGACCCTCCCGTTTGTTGTTGATAGATATATTGTTGTTACAGGCATTTATATCAGTCAGGATTGTTACGATCAATTTTGTAGCCCGTTTGTGAGGCTTGTACTGTAGGGTTATTTGAGCATTTAAGCACGTTAATGATAAATTGCGCTCAATCCGGAAGGGTCAGCTGATTTGCGCTCAATTCGGAAGGGTCTTGGGAGAAGACTGATCCGGCAAGCAGTACAAGGAGCAACAAGAAGGGGCTCAAGGACAACAACAATCGGCTGTTGGGTATCGTTAACAAGTTTTGTATCCCTTTTGGTACGAAAAGTAAGATAGTAATCTGTGGGGGGCTCGACAGTGCTGCACTGTAGTGACCCTTCACCGAACTGCGAATATCCGAGTTAAGCACCTTAATTCGGATATTAAACAAACCCGTAGGGGTATAGTATTACTAATATTATTACTTATAAAGCCTATATTAATACTCCTATACCGTTTTTCAGTGAAAAACACAGAGAGCAGACCGGTTTTTAGGGTCAAAATAGCGATATTTTGATCCCCCCACAAATCGCGATTTTTGAGATATCGATATTTTTTGAAACGGAAAAAAGCGCTAAAGTAGTGTGTTACATCGTAACTGCACTACCATAATAGATAGAACCGGTTAAGTTTAGTTCGGAAGTGGTTGGAACTATTTTGGTACCGAAAACCGAATTTTCGCTATTTTTGATAGTACGAAACACTATAAATTCAGAAAATTTTTTGAAATTTTTGAGTTAGGACAGTAAAAATAGTTGTTCGGACAACTTCCACTTATGAATCTACAAGTTTTAAAACCCGCTTCCCGAAAGCCTCCCGGGTTGCAGAGAAATCGAACTTAACGTGTTTAATTTGGTGGATTCATCAATCCGGAGGGGTACAGGTAGCATAGTTTTTCGCAAATTTTTTCAACTAAAGCGTTTTAGATCGGGTCTTTTGCATTGAACTAGAAGAGTGTAGGCCTTCTGAGCTTGGATCAATAATTTTTAGGTCAAAAAGAACAGAATTGCGGAAAAAGTTAGGCGGAACCTATAAGAGACAAATTTTTTTTGACTTTAGAAAAAAGACGTTTTGGTTAATAACTTTGGAACTACTGGGCATATCCAGTTGATCTTGGTACCAATAGATTAGAAATTAGCTGAGCTTACTGATAGGGACAAAATTTTTTCGAAAAAGTAAGCGTGAAAAGATTTTGAGATTGTTTTTAGCAAATTCACCAATTTGGGAGGGTAGACCCTTCACGTTTTACAAAATTTTTTTTTAGAAAAGCCCTTACACCCCTACCAAAAGGTAATAGCGGTTGAATAAAGTAACTTTAGGCCGTTCTAGACGAAAAGGGAAGGCTAAAAGCACAGAAAAACCTTAATCGAGCCGAAGATAGGCGAGCGATAAGACCCTTCACCGTTAGCGTGAATTGCCAAATAAGAGGCTTAACTTCAATCCGGAAGGGTCTAGGAAAGCAGTACATACCCTTCCTAGTTAATTGAAAAAGCAAAATTGCATCGGAGAACGTATCCGGAGGGGTATAGGTTGAAAGAAGGAAATCTCCGAAAAGCTACTATTACAAACCAGAGGGCTCCCAATCCGGAGGGGTCTTATATTTGCTAATTCGGAGGGGTCCCAATCCGGAGGGGTCTTATATTTGCTAATTCGGATGGGTCCCAATCCGGAGGGCTCTAAATTTTGTTAGTCCGGAAGGGTCCTATATATATATATTTTTTTTCCAATCCGGAGGGGTATTATTTTATTAAAGGACTTAGATAAACGGAAGAAAGACTAAATTGAGAGGTATTAGGTTATTAGCAGACAGGCTAGGAATCAGTGACTGCACTGGTAACTTGCATTTCAATAAAAACCAGACCAAAACAAAACAGGTCCGAACTCGGATATTCGCGACACTAAGTCTAAACTAAAGAGAGCGTAATTCATTGGTGTGGATTGACACCCAATACGTTGTTTTTTGAAAAGTGACTGCCCTGAGGATTTTAGTAGGTCTAGCTCGGGCAGTCCGAAGGCAGATAGGTAACACAGTACTCGGTGGGTGCAATAGACGCCCACTTGAGAAAATTACTGCCATCAAAGTTTTGTCTGTTTGGTGCAGCACCAAGCAGGGAAAGCTTTTTCTTTAAAATATAAGTTCGACTATTGTACTGAGACCGACTAAAAGTACAATACTCATACGTTTTTTTATAGAGATATTCATATTCTGACATTATATATTTTCTTGTTTTTGATTTTAAATCAACATAATTTGAGCTTGATTGGGTAGTGAGTACACTATCTTTTAAATTGACTGATAACATCATATTGTGCTAGTTCTAAAATCTTACGAACAATAATCGGTTAGTGTGAATAAATTATATACAAACTGTACTCTGATAACATACAAAGATTCGTGGTCACTATTTAATAGAATCTTGTGAAATTTATTGTGTTGTGTCATTATTATTGATAGTCAAACAATAAGGTCACTAGCAATCGAATTGAGTGTATATGCATTAAGAAGTGACAAATTGAGAATGAGTCTAGACAAGTCAAGGATACCTAAGCGGGGTAATAGCTCTAGGAAATTCATACCTAAAAAGCAAAGAAGAACAATGACCGATCCTTTTGTGGATTGGATCAAACGAGCCCGGACCGACAAAGGGGAGACGGTTTCAGGCAGAATGGTTGAAACAAGGAGTCAGAAGACCTCAGAAGAGCGAAAAGAACTGTTAGAAGTGGAGTTCAATACGGACCATGCCATGAACGAGAACCAGGAAGTACATGGACTGGAAGAGAGAGGCAGAAGGCTGGCGAGTGAATCTACTCCGGTAGAACAAGGCCACGATTTTGCCACTTCCACCGGGGCATTGGATCGAGAGGAGATGTCGGAACTGTCCGACATCTCAACTGAAATAGCGACAACTAGAAGATCTCCAACAGACAACACTATGATGGCAGGCGGGACTGAGAAACAAACAACGTCATCATCGTTCTCAGAAAGAATGAGGAACACCTTAGGAAACATCTTTCCATTCACCATGGGAGGGGGCGCAGGAAATGAAGGTGAATCCCAGGAGGAGGAGGACGAAGAAAAGCAAGTGGACTTTGGGTCTCAAGTCAGCCTCAATAGTTCGACCCAGGAGAATGAGGCATACGTCGAAAAAGAGACTGGAAACATGGACAAATTTGGTGTGGTGAGAACGATAAGCAAGGAGATAAACACACCGGGCCAGTCGAGAGGCTTCGCGATTATGACAAATTCAGAGCCGCAAACTGGGGAGAGTAGAAACAGAGGGCTAGGCAATGCATTGGCGGATCCTGATGTGGATAATGAAAAGACGTCGAGGCAGAGAGTCAAGGCCCGAATCTCGACCAGCACGAAGCTACCTGGGACCGACAGGGTTACACCGCCACTAGTGACGCCACTTGTGGATAACGGGGCAGCACTAGAAGAAGCCTTAAAGAACATAGTGGACAGTTTAGGAGAACAAAATGAACAGATTTCCATAAGAATGAGTGAACTAGAAAGGACAGTTCACATAGAAAGGGAAAGTCTGCGGGAAGAAATAAACCGCAATAGACAAGAAATTGGTAGGAGCGAAAAACGCTTGAAAGAAAGAACGGACGAGCATATGGCGAAGAACTTGTCGCGAATGACAAGAGAAGCGGAACAGAGAGAGTTACGCTTAAGAGACGACATGGAGAAGTTGAGAATTCAGCAAGAGCAGTCTCTTGGGACTCTTGACACAAAGATAGACGCGATGATGGAGAGGCGAACTCAGGCTATCATGGACAGGTTGGACGGGCTACTAAGCAGCAAGAGTGGACCAAAAGAAGGGGAACCGAACTCGGGAGGTCCCAGCAGGGAGCCGAAGGTGAACTTCAATGAACATCAAAAGAGGAAGACATATGGATCCACTAGAGGCAGGGGCATTTCAACAGGCTATGCGACAAGGGATAATAGAACATGGGGCCCGAACAGTAGAGCAAGTTCAACGGGGAACAGACAGACCTCTAATGAACGACCAACGCAAGGCACACATGCGACTGGGAGAAGTGATTCCGGTAACAGAGGGCATGCAAGCCCCGGGAGGAGTCATGTGGGCCAAGCGGGAAACACTCACGGCGATTCGGATTGCAGCAATGCACCGCATACAGAGCCTTTGACAAGGTGTGAGGACACTCAAGCGGGACACTCAAGGGATGCTACGGCAATGGCCACAGCCTTTGAACCCCTAAACAGGTCTTTGGAGACATTCCTTACAAGGTTATCCAGAACCAATGAACGCAGTGAGAAGTCCAGAAGAGTCTTTAAGA